CCGCGACTGACGCGGATAATGGTGTTTGGTACAACGGACTGGGCAGTCGGCTTGTCACCGATGCGTTCGCTGCGGTCGCGGAGAGAACCGGCGCGCCTGCACGAACAGGGGCGCCTGAAACCGTAGTCGGTGAAATCTGCTGCCTGCTGTAGCGCGCGTGACGGTAACAGCTGTTCGCTGAGTCTGTTGCCAGCAGTGCTGACGGCGCTGGGCTTTCTGGCCGTCTGTAGGTGACCACTCCGCCTCGCCGCCAGACGAGCGCAGTCATAACGTCGTTCCAGGGCATGACCGTGTCCTTCTCGCCCACCGCGTGCGCGCTCCGGGAGCGGCGGAGCGGCGAGTGACGGAACGCTTGCGATCGCGCTTCTGAATTGACGGCATCCAGCGGTTGTGCTGGCCTTCGCCTATCCGAGGAGTTATTTCCGTTCAGTCTTGCTATCATGATGGGCTCGCTTTTGCTGCGCGTAAGCTGCCGCTCTGCGCGGACTCCGCGGGTATCCTCGCGGCTGTTCTCAAACACGAGCTTGCTCGCGCGATTCCATGAGTCGAGTCGCCGCTGGGCCGAGTCCAGCGACAAGCGACGTCTGCCGCAACCCCGACGGCTCGTGTCGCGCGGGCCGTCGTTGATGGCGGTGAGAGCGACGAGATGCTGCAGCTGCTGCAGTGACAGCCCGTGGCCTGCGGCGGGCTCAGTTGATGGGGGCTCTGGTTGTGCGCTTCGGTGCGTGCGGGTGTCATCGTGATGAGCAGATGTGGGTTTTCCTGATTGCTGCGTCTCCAGTTGAAAGCGAGTGGTCGGAGGCGGCCGTGAGTGCGGCGAGGCGCTTTTCGCACGTCTGGTCACACTGGCGCTGGCTGCGGGATCTGCGGGCGACGAAGGCTGTGACAGTAATGCAAATTGCTGAGCTGTAGTTACCGCCAATGCGCGAAATTTAGCTGTGGCAGAGCGAGAACTGCGATGAAGTCTGTCAGACATTTCGGAAGCCATTGTTTGCTTACTACTAGTAATTGAAGTTCTTGTCTGTGGGGGGGAGCCCTGGAATGAATTCGAGGGCTGAGAGCAGCACCCGTATTTATGCCCTCATCGCGATTGCCCAATTCGCTGAGTGGGCGGCGAAACGAAACTGCCCAGGTTTGGTTGCATGCCTTTGCCTGACAGTTGACAAACCCCTCCGGAATGTTGTTGCGCGGGTTCGATGTTTGGGGATTGGCGGGGAGGGGGGGCGGAACGTTTGGTAAGGGGGGAGGTGATACGGACTGTACGCATCTGGTACTGTACAGTACGGATTCGCGAAATACAGCAAATCTGCGGGGAGTGTAGCGATTCATGGGAGACTGCCACAAGGAAAACGCGCAATTTTTTTTCAGGAATAGTACTCCGACACATGTTCCGTTATGTGAATTAAAACTGTCCACGTATCTGTTAGAAAACTTACAGAGCTACCTAGACGTTAAAACTCGCTCTACCCAGCTTTCCTCTCGGCCCAACACTTTCTTTTGGGAACTGGGAAGTATTACCTCTAGAACACTTGTTTCTATCGACTTTCAGAGGTTCCCGAGATTGTGTTCATTTGCGACCACTATTCATCTCCACCCAACTACAATACCCACGTACAGTACAGTACATGCCAGTTTCAAACCACGTGCGTGCTAGCATTTCTTCAAATATATTCCCCCACGCCTGTTCAATTTTGGCGGTTGTTTCCCGTTAGTGACTTCTCCGTTTTGGCCGACCAAGCTGTGGTTAGTAGGCGACTGCTACCAAGTGTCGCTAATGCTAAAGAGTTCACCGCCTTTTCTACAGCCAACAAGTCGCCTTTTCTACAGCCAACAAGTTAGCAAAGGCACTTCGGTTTGGTGTCTATGATCAGCTTTGTGATAGCGTATAGGATCATTGATCTACCACGATGAGCTACTCATTCCGGATCGCCGGTTCATCGCGCACGTGCTTGCACAATCTCTCGCCATGCTCCGCTCGCTCGTTTTCTAGTAGGAAGCTGCGCGGGGAAGTGCAGCACGTGGTATGTGGTCGAGTCATCGTCTCACTCAAATGACATCAGCATAATCACCAGGTTATCCTCACATGATAGGCGCAGTCCGGCGAGACTCCCAGCCTCTGCCGCAGGAGAACAAGGGACGACGTATCACCGACGAAATCTAGGATGTTGCGAATCGTCGTCGATAACGTCACGTGTTGGTCGAAGCCAATGAGGCATTTCTCCAGTGCCATTCGGCGGACTGAATCTGTTCACATGGCATCGATTCATCGTGTCGTTCAAAGGACATCCGCACACTCACCAGATACCCTCTTAGACTCCCGAGGGTTCACCCAGTCCGAGACTCCTGGCCTTTCCGCCTCTCCGCCTCTCCAACTCCCAGTCCGAGAGCAAACAGACGACGCATCGCCGACAAAATCTAGGATACACGCGAATCGTCGTCGATCAGCGACACATGATCTCGTCCGAGCAACACTGGAGGCATGGCTCCAGTGGCAGACTGACAGTGCGATTCGCCGGATCGCATTTCTTGCGTCAGCTGAGAATGTCGGAAGCTTCCGACCGGCGACAGCCAGTTTCCTATCTGAGAGTGCCATTCCAAGTACCACCAGACGACTTCGAAGCCCTCTAACATGACATTGAGGCCCTGTAAACTGATAGGCGTTCCGCCGCTGTCCATTCCTCATTGTTACATGGGTTACCATCGCCTCTCTCAAACCCTAATTCACGACTTCGAATAGTCTCCTCCCCAATCCCCTCCTCTCCTCGGTTGTGAGTCTGGCAGTCTTCTGTGGTACTCTGGACACTCGCTTGCGCGTTGTGGCTGTGAACCCGCCAGTTCCCCGTGCAACGCGGTCCACAGGGTCTCTTAACTTGACCCAACCCACTGGGATCGGATCGGATCGGATCACTCGTGAGTACTAACGGTAGTATGAGGCCTCGGAGTTACTGGGCGAAGGCATTGGTGAGAGAGCACGCGCCAAGAGCATCAAGGATGAAGCGAGGCCGCGACGACCACCTTAGTGAGGGTGCGGGTACTACTGCCAGCGATGCTCGGCGTCAGCGCAGGGTTTTCAGGGCCTGTGCGTCAACTCCTGCAGCAACCAGCCCCGCAGCCACGCCAGAGGCAACCAGCCCTGCAGCCACGCCAGCAGCAACCAGCCCCGCAGCCACGCCAGCAGCATTCAGTGGTAAGGCGAGAATGGTGGCCGAAGCAGCCGACACGACAACCGGCGCTCAGCAACACGACGAGGGTCCTGAACATGAGCTACATGCTGTTGGGATCTCGCCTATGCACGAACCTGATGGCTCTGTGAGACAACGGATTTGTGCTGCAGTCACGTCAAAGTGCAACGCGGGACCAAGCTGGGAAGGATACGTCCGGAGCCGCGAGAGGCTCGGAATCACCGTGCTGTCTGCCAAGCCGCTGCTTCAACCCCATGCTGGAGCAAATCGTTGTGGTGCAACTCGTTATAACTATTACAGAGCGGAACCGGTGGAGGGATGTGCAGGCGAGCTAATGGAGCAGCGTGCAGGCGAGCCAATGCAGCAGCGTGCAGGCGAGCCAATGCAGCAGCGTGCAGGCGAGCCAATGCAGCAGGGTGCAGGCGAGCTAATGCAGCCGTGTGCATGCAAGGCAATGGAGCGACGGACATGCTTTGAAAAGCCACCTTGTGCTCGAGTGCTCATCCCTGACCTGAACCTACCTGCATGTGAGGATCCTGGTTTGGGAAACTGCCAAATCAGTGGAAATTCGCATGGGGGAGGTTCTTCTTCAGGCATCAGACCCCCTCCTGGTACCTCTGGGGTACAAATAGCTGAATCTAGAGGCGCTGAACTGGGCGAGTTGAACTTGAGTGGCCACAAGTGGAAGCAGCAGGAGCAGGAGCAGCAGGAGCAACCACAGCAAGAGCACAAACGATGTCACCTGTGCCATAGGTGTGCCGCTGAGAGTGCAGAGTTAGAGAGAAGGAAAATGCTGATACGAGAAATAAACTTGTACAGGGAAAGGAACCTTCGGCAAGCCTAGCAGAGCATGTACCATATACAAGAATGCTTCAACTCTGCAGCTTACATATATTGTTTGTATCTGTTCCTTGTTGTAACCTTGCATGCATGCAGAGTTGCTTTTAACAAATAAACTTCTGTATGAATTGAATGCCGTGTTGTGCAAAGTTTAGATTCGTTTCCTTTTCTCATTGTATGGGTTTGTGCACAGTTAGATTCTTTTTGTCAGGTTTGCTACGTAAGCCTGCTTCGCACGATGTAGGCAAGGAGTTAGCTGAGGGAGAAGGAAATGGGGAAAATGGGGCTGGGATATGCGATGGAAATGAAGGGAGCTGGGCTGAGTGGGGAGCGGAGGCGAGGGAAGTGGGGGAAGTGGGGCTGGGAGAAAATGGGGGGGGGTTGGGGTGGGAGGGGCTAGGGGAATGGGGGAAGTGGGGCTGCTGAGAGGGGCGACAAAAAACAAATATGAGTGCCTAGACATGAGCCTGATAAGATTTTATAAGAACACACTGCAAGATCTCGATGGGAGGGGAGTGGAGGAGGGAAGAACTAGACCAGAGACGTCCCAGAGCTTGATGGGAGAGGGGGCAGAATGAGGGAGAGACATAAGTGACGACAGGAGGCAAAATAGGGAGTAGAGGGTGCAGAGGGCGAGGAGGGCGAGGAGCAAGATGAGGGTGCAGAGGGCGATGCGGGAAAGGAGCAAGATGAGGGTGGAGAGGGTGATGCGGGAAAGGAGCAAGGAGGAAGGAGGGAAAGGAGCAAGGAGTAGGACAGCGATGGATCTCCAAAAAAAAAAAAAAAAAAAAAAAAAAGGCCTTATGAGAAACCATTTATAGGAGGCTTACAGAGCATTGAATTCGTTCCTTTCTTGAAAGAGAAAGTGGAAGGAGAGGAGGGAGAGGAGGGTGGAGATGGTTCAAGTGAAGGGAAGGAACAGTAGGCAAGAAAAGGAACGATACGAGAGAAATTTAACATTAGGACAGAGACGGAGAACTAGGAAAGGAACAATAGGATAGAAACGAGGAAAGAAACTTGAGGAATATGGGCCACGAATGAGGGGGTGGTTGTTAAAAAGAGATGGTGGTGGGGAGAAGGGGGAAAGGGGGGGGAGGGGGTGGGAAGGGGCGCGGGGGAGAAGAAGGGGAGGAGGGGGGAAGAGTGGTTTCGTGAAACGAAGAGTCTGTACTTACATCATAAAGAAACCAGTGGAAACAGGACCAATAGTTAAGAAAACACTACAGTAACAATGAAGTTCAACACTGATATGATGTGTCCAGAAATACACCCACGAAGTATTGATTAAACTCACTCATACCGTATTCCTACTCAAATCGTTATAACTGTATCGAGACCCACCAATCACCTAAGTATGACGAAGATCCACTGAAACGCATTCACCCATCACTTCTGGTAACCGTCGCCAGGGCAATCGTTCAGATGTCGCTCTTGCCCGTAGAAATACCACTTCCCGGGGGTGGGCGGAGCGTACTCCGCGGAACCCCCCCCTGAGCTCCCCCCCGCGCCCCCAGCCTCCGCCGAAGCCTCCCCCGAAGCCTCCGCGCTCGCGCCGCCTCCGCGGATTCCCTCCATGATTTGCGCAACGGTCAGCTCTTCCTTCTTAGTCTCGAACACCGCGCGGCGCCGCTCGCGGTCGTGGTACTTAATATTAAAGACGCGGTCGAGATCGCTCTGCGGAATCGACGCCTTGGCGGGCGGGTTGGTCGGCGCAAACGGGCGGTATTCCCCCAGCACGGGGACGGACTCGCGGAACTCCGCGGACACGGTGGGGCCCGTGTAGTTCCACGGCGGGCGCACGTACTTGGCGAGCGCCTGGCGCGCGCGCGCGAGGAGGGAAGTTCCCGCGGGAGGAGCCATGGCGGAGGAACGGCGGAGGAACAGCGGAAGGAGGTCCGCGGGAGGGCGCGAGAGTGATCTGTGTTAGAGATGTCGAGATGGGGATTTAGCTTTGAATGCAGAGAAATAAAAGGCGAAATGGGGACGGGATGCGAAGAGCGGATGTCGAATTGCGAGAGGGGACAGCGCAGCGCGATTGGCGGCGGGAGTGACGGCAGGTGTGGGGGGGTCGGACTGACCTGCTGCCTGGTGCTGCCTTTCGCTGCTCCGAGAATTCTCACTGCTGACGCATCCTAGCTAACCCTAAATTGGTTTGCTTTGCTGCTAGCTTCGGCGGTTGTAAACCGGGAAACCGATTTGAAGTGTAATTTAACCGCAATCACACGTTCTCAAGGCACTCGTTGAAGCCTACCAGAGTTAAGTTGTACCTGTTATAGAACGACCGCTTTCTGCATACAGATAAAATATATATGCGTAGTGTACTATATGTCTGTTCGACCCTCACATTCACCAGATTGCCTTACCCTTCACAAGCCTCTAGGTTCGAGGTCCATGAAGGCTCGCTTCCGAAAGCTTTCACCTGTGTGGCTCCAAGCCGCACTTTGATACTATCCACGCGAGTTAACTTCTCACGAGGTTGCCTGCTAATTAGTTACTCAAGAGTTTTGCTCCGCGTTTACCAGGACTAGTTCATTCTCGCGGATCTGAGAAAACAACTGATTCTCCTGCTGGGACTTGTCGCTGCTGCTCCTGCTGCTCCTGCTGTCATGGCGACAATGCAACAAGCCGCGTCGCGAATGTCGTTCGTTCCATCGTCGCGCTTGGACGCAGACAGATTAAGTTTCGGAGCGTCGCTAAGAGTAACCCCAGTTTCGCGAGAATTAAGGAGTAGTTCGCGCATTTCGTGTGTACCGCGCAGAACCGCTTCTCCGCGGGATCCGGCTCAACTTCCCTCGCGAATCTCCAGCCAATCAGCTTCTGCCACGCACACTCGAGCAATTGGTTCAAGATACTCATCTCCGCGTCAATTTTCATACCCCAGTTTACTCACCCCGCGTACAGTCACACCCGACGGTCAGCACAGCGAGCTTCTGCGTCACTCTCGCTATAGTGTCGTTGCCGCGGCTGCTGGCGCTGGATCGACGAAGGCTGCTGCGAAGGACGAGGGAGGGGAGGAGGAGCTGAAGCAGGCGCACAAACTGTTTGACCAGGTGAGACCGCCGTTGACTTTCGTTGACCTTCGTTGACTGGCGTGCAGTAGTTTCGTTGTGCTGTGAAATTCGCGGTGTCCAGGCGTGCTCACGGTGACTTCTTACTGTCAAACCCTTCTAGTGGTCAAACCCTGGTATAAACCCCGAACCTTAACCCCTGAGCAGAGCCATTTTCACGTTCACCCGTCAGGTGGCGATATTCGTCAAAGCGGGGGATAGGGGAAACAGCGCAGTGTTGCACCCGCCACAGCCGGGGGAGGCCGGGGAGACGCCTGGGCTTACTTATTTTCCGCATATCCTTGTCTGTCATTGTCTTCCCTTCCCCTCAGTTGGTGATATTCGTCAAGGCGGGCAATGGGGGCAACGGGGCAGTGCTGCACCCGCCTCGGCCGTGGAAGGGGAGGGGGGGACGCCTGGGTAGAAGGGAGGCAGGCTGCCCCCTGACTCCTCTGTTTCCCCTCTATCCCACCCACCTTACCTGCCTGCCCCTAATAAGGTGGTGATCTTTGTCAAGGCGGGCGATGGGGGGAACAGGGCGGTGCTGCACCCCCCACGGCCGTGGAAGGCAGGGGAGACGCCTGGGCTGATGATTCACCCTTCAATCCCTGTCTGTAACTGCCTTCCCCTGGCCTGGCATTCAGGTGGTGATCTTTGTGAAAGCCGGGGATGGGGGGAATGGTGCGGTGCTGTGCGGTGCTGCACCCGCCGCGGCCGTGGAAGGCCGGGGAGACGCCTGGGCTGATCCTGTTTCCCTGTACCTCTTTGTACCTGTCTGTATCCAGGTGGTGATATTCGTCAAAGCAGGGGATGGGGGAAATGGCGCAGTGCTACACCCCCCACGGCCGTGGAAGGCAGGGGAGACTCCTGGGCTGAAGGGAGGGAAGCTCAACGCGAGAGAGGCGGAGGAAATGAGGAGGAAGCTTCGCAGGTGAGGGAGGGTGAGGGAGGGGAGTGACCGATTGAGGAGGCTGGGGGACGGAGAGGAGAACTGGGGAAGAGTGGGGAAAGTGCATGTATGTTAATGAGAAGGCGGACAGTGAAGATAAATGGGGGGTGAGGAGAGAGAGAGGCGAGCACAATTCCCCTCTCCACACAGTAAGTGTGAGGAAAGAGGGGGAGTGTGCTATTCGCTGCAACCCCTTGCCCATCCACTCTCATCACCGTCTCCTCCATCCCCCCACCTGTAGAAAAGAAGCAGAGAAGGCCAAGGCAATGAAACGAGTGGGCACCTTTAAGAGGGACGCGGATGGGCTTGCAATGTTGCCTCGTCCGCATGGGGGGGCATCGTGATTCACGCCCATCCCTCCCTCTCCACGCTGCTGCTTCTGCTGCTGCTGCTGCTGCTGCTGCTGCTGCTGCTGCCACTGCTGGCGCTGAAACTCCTTCCCGTCCCCACCCCACTCCCCTCACATGCAGGAAAAAAGGCAACAAAAGCCATCTTCAAGTGGGAACGTTCAAGAGGGACGCGGACGGGTTGGCGATCGTGCCCATGGGGCCATGGGGGGGACATTGTCATTCACGCCCACCCCTCCCTCTCCACGCTGCTGCCACTGCCCCTTCAACCCCTTCTATCCTTTCCCCGATCCCCTTCCCCCCACTCACAGGAAAGAGGCGGAGAAGGCCAAGGCAATGAAGAGGGTGAGCACTTTCAAGAGGGACGCTGATGGGCTTGCGATTGTGCCCATGGGGGGCCATGGGGGAGAAATTGTGATTCACGCAGACCCCTCCCTCCCCACGCTGCTGCCATCCATGCCTTCCCCACCCCAATCAAGCGAGATGCCGACGGGCCATGGGGAGGGCACGTTCAAGCGAGACGCGGATGGGCTGGCGATTGTGCCCATGGGAGGCCATGGGGGAGGCATTGTGATTCACACAGACCCCTCGAACGGTCCTTGCATTAATAATGGGGTGTTACAACGGTAGATGCAAACACATGCATAAACAAGCAAACACAGCCGGTATCCTGACTATCACTCTGTCTCCTACTTGCCCCCGCCCCCCCTCTGTCCGACCCTACTGGTCGAACGGGGGCTCAATCAACTGGTGTAGCTGCCCCTCGCTAAGAGGGGCAATGGGTCCCTGCATGCCGAGCTCGTCCGCCGCCAAGGCCTCGTTGGTCTTGTCTTGGAGCGGAGGGCATTGGCCTGCGCTCGTTGGAGGCAGACGCTCCAGCGCTGGCGGTACTCCGTCAGCAGCTTGGCTGCCTCGTACGAGGTAGGAGCGGCGTTGAACCTCAGCTTGGCCGCCAGCTCCACGCACTGCCGCAGGTAGGCCATCACCCCCGGGGAGGGGTAGCCGTAGGTCTCGACCGCAAGGGCATGGAAACCCACCCACGCGTTTCGCCGCGCGTACTTCTCCTCCTTCCTAACCGTTGCCGCCCTAGCCGCCCATCCAGGAGCTCGGTTGCAGTGCTTATCCTGGTGAGAAACGGGGTCCGTCACAGTCACATCGCACATGAACACCTCTCCCGTCAGGGGATGACGGATTGTAACGTCCGCCTTTAGGTTCTCAACGAGAGAGTAAACGTAAGTTTCCTTGTGCACTGTGAATCCCGCTTCTGCCCCTATGTTTGCTATCTCATCCCGAAGAGCGTGGTGAGTAGCAATCCTCCATTTCCCCTTCTCGCAGCGCATGAGGTGGTTGGGGAGGCGGTCATCGGGGAAGGTGGTGCGGTAACGGCAGTCACAGCGTCTAGGCACGGGGAGGGGGAGGCCTAGGCGGAAGGCTGCTGCAGTTGAGAGCTGGGATGGGCCCATCCGGAGCGAGGGGATGAGGGGAATCGCCAGCAGCCAGTCCCCCGCTCCTGGGCCGGAAAGGGGGTTGGGGCGCATCCGCCTCGCCTCGCGCATAACCCTCAGGAAGCGGCGGGAGTGAACCGCCAGTGCCAGAGACTGCTGCAGCTTCAGGCCTTTCGGGTCCGCCTTCCCGGCCTGGAGCACCTCCAAAGCCTCTGGGGGGAGAGCTGCCTCTGCAGCTGCGAGGCGTGCTGGCAGCGCGTGCACAGAGCCGAGGGTCGGGTCCAGTAAGGGGAGGAGCGCGGTAACAGCAGGGTGCAGTGAGTCCTCCAGGGAGTGCAGGAGGTGTGAGGCGCTGATCACCGAAGGGAGGTAGGCGTAGCTACCTTCAACGGCGGGGTCAGTGATGCCTAGACCCCCCAGCGTCACCGGCAGAGCCGCCTGCCGCCAAATCCTTCGTCTCTCCCTGGCACTCCGCGGGGTCATGATGTGGGCCGAGTCCAGGAAGGTGAGTAGAAGCTGCTCCCCCCAAGCAGACCATTCCGCTTCAGGCAGCGCCTCCAGGGGAGTGGTTCTGGCCAAAAAGGAGGCACGGCGGCTGACACAGCGGGTGAGGAGGAGGAGGCTAAGCTGGGGATCCATCTGGGCCAGCAGGGGGAGCGGTGCTGCTGCTGCTGCTAGTCTCTCCCTCACCGCGCTGGCGCAGCCCTGGGGTGTGCCGATGGGGCTGCCGAGAATCTGTAACCCCTCTCCAGAGATAGTGATGCCTGGGGGTATGGCTGAGGGGTCTATTGCTGCGGCAGACCACGCCGCGCACTTGGCCGGGTTGTGTACCAGGCCGAGGGCGGCTAGCGCGGATGTGAGGTGGTCGAATGCTGATGTGCAGGCCGTGGCGTCACCGAGCAGCGTGATGTCATCGGCGTACGCCAGCAGGACCACCTGTGGGTGTGCAGCTGCCGTGTCAGCGAGGCACGGGTGGATACTTGCTGCGAACAAGAGGGGACCGAGCGGGTCCCCTTGGCGGACTCCTCTGGCGCTCTGCAGTGGGGCTGCGCCGAAGTCGTGGTCGAGGAAGAGTGAGGAGGGAGCCCCATAGGAGAGGCGGACCAGAGGGATCAGGTCTTCCAGCGCCTCGTTTTTGAGTCCCTCGAACACCGCTCTCCTTTCGACCGCGTTGAACGCGTTCGCGAGGTCAATTTGCAGCGCCACTGCTTCAGGATGGACCTCCAGGTAAGTACGCGCCGTGTGGATAGCCGCTTCAATCCCCCTCGCTACTGCCACACCGAACTGAAGGGGGGCGAAGTGAGCTCAGGCGGCCGGCGCGGTCAGGAAGAGTGCAGCTTTGGCAATAATCCGAAGGAGGCATTCTCCTACCGCGATCGGCCTCGTCCCTCCTTGTGGTTTCGTAAATGCTAACAGGCGGGAGGCGGTTAGGAGTTCCCCCGCGACGGCAGGTAGTTTCCCTGCTAGAGCCGTGTTAGAGAGGGCGAGGAGGTGGATGAATACTTCGGCATTGCCTAGGGCTGCTTCGCGAATGTGCTCGAAAGTGGTTCCTGAGGGCCCGGCCCCGACTCCATTGGGGAGCTTCGCGATGAGCCGCCTGAAGTCGCGGGCTTCGATAGCGGGTGAGTTTTCTGCTGTGAAGGCGTGTAGCCAATCAGGTAGCATTTGGCCTGCAGGTGGGTGTCTCGTCGTGAGGGCCTCCAGCACTTCAGGTGAGGTAGGTGACACGGGTGTGGCTTGGAGGGATTGCAGTGATTTTGACAGGTTACCACGCTTCGCCAGTCCTTCCGCCCTGGCGAGTATTCCAGTTGTGTCAGGTGCGTGGCGAGGTTGCGGTGGGAGGGAAATCGCCTCGACAGCTTCTTCGTATAGGCCGGCCCAGAACCCTTGGCGAAATCGGAGGAGCCGGTTCATCATCGCGCACCAGTCAGGTTTACGGGCTGACGAGGTGCGAAGGAGTATGCGCGGGAGAAAAGTCAGTAACTTCCATCCTGGCGCAGACTCGGGATTGGCTGCCAGGTGGAGTAACGGTGTCAGCAAGAAAATCGCAAAGGACTCGCGAAGGTCTTTTGGGGGTTGGCGGGCGAGTGGCGGTTGGCGACTGTCGCGCAACGGGTCGAGGTCCCAGTCTGCGACCTGTGCGAAAAGGTCAGAATTTTTCGCCAGGTCGTCTGGTTTGAGCATCGGGGGGGTAGGAATTGGGGCTGCGGAATTTTCATGGCTGCTGCAGAGTTGACTCCGTCCTCTGTCGCGGTTCGATTTCCCCCCCTTGCTTGAATTCCCCCCGCGGCTCGATTTCGTGCTGTGGTTCGGATTGCAGGCTCGCCTCGAACCTGCAGGTTGGGGAACTCTGCTCCCCGGAGCAGAAGCTCCAACTCTTCCTCATCCTCCTCGGCTTCTGCATCCGAAATCCCCTCTCTTTCAGGGTTAAAAGCAGGGTCACCCCCGTCACTCTCCTCATTCTCAACTTCCGCATCCGCTTCCTCGCTAGGCGCCTCCTCGCTGCCTTCCTCGCCTTCCCGTAGTAGCCTCTCTGCAGTTCTCGCGTAGCCGCTTGCTCCGGTGCGGCGCGGGTTTGTACCGCGTGCTCCACCACCTCTTCGTCCTCTCCCATTCCCACGTCGTCCGCGGCGGCTGCTGCCGCGTCCCACGCGGATTCCCCGCGTTGCTCTCCCTCCCGCAGCTCCCGCGCGCCCCGTTTGAGGTGCGGCGTCGACATCGTCCTCACTTTGTCGGCGCGCTGGCATCGGCGGCGGTAGTGTCGGGGGTGATGGACCCATCCGCGGGACGTGATCCAGAGCTGGAGGGTTCTGCGGAGAGCGCACAGCCGGAGCCAGAGCCTGCCGGTCTTCGACTGCATGTCTCTGTGCGCCCCTCCGCAAGTGAGCCCGTCCGCCGCTTCGAGCGCGGGCTGACTCTACCTCTTCGGCCTGCCTCGCGGCCCACCTCGCCGGAGTATTCGTGGGCCCCCGCGCGTGTTGCCGGGTGCTGCTGCCTGCCGCTGCCTCTGCCGATGAAACCCCTTCATATCCACTTGGTGTCTTTCCTCCCAACCCCACCTGCAGGAAGGAAGTGGAGAAGGCGAAAGCGATGAAACGGGTGGGAAATTTCAAGCGAGATGCCGACGGGCTGGCGATCGTGCCCATGGGGGGTCATGGGGGGGACATTGTGATTCACGCCGACCCATCCCACGCTGCTGCCTCTGCCGCTGCTGAACCATGCCCCTCTCTCCCCCCTCTCCACACGCTGACCCCCCCTCTCCCTTCTCTCCTTGCCTTGTGCTCTCCCCCTCCCTCCTGCAGGAAAGAGGCAGAGAAATCCAAGGCAATGAAGCGTGTAGGCACTTTCAAGAGGGACGCGGACGGGCTTGCGATTGTACCCATGGGGGGCCATGGGGGAGACATCGTGATTCACGCCGACCCCTCTCTCTCCACGCTGCTGCCGCTGCACCGCAAGAAGCGGCACGTGGCGAGGAGCGGAGGGCATGTGGACGCAAAGGGGGGGCTGGCGAGGAGAGGGCCTGATGGGTTGCAGGGCACTGTGCTGCGGATAGGCGTGCCTGTGGGTAAGTGTCTTGTGCTGCTGTTGCTGCTGCTTGTGCTGCTGCTGCACCGCAAGAAGCGGCACGTGTCGAGGAGCGGAGGACACGTGGATGCCAAGGGAGGGCTGGCGAGGAGAGGGCCTGACGGTTTGCAGGGGCCAGTGCTGCGCATAGGTGTCCCCGTAGGTAAGCCCTGTGCCAGCAACAGACCCCTCTCTCTTGCGCGGCGAGGAGTGGAGGGCATGTGGATGCCAGGTAAGCCCTGTGCCAGCAACAGACCCCTCTCTCTTGCGCGGCGAGGAGTGGAGGGCATGTGGATGCCAGGTAAGCCCTGTGCCAGCAACAGACCCCTCTCTCTTGCGCGGCGAGGAGTGGAGGGCATGTGGATGCCAGGTAAGCCCTGTGCCAGCAACAGACCCCTCTCTCTTGCGCGGCGAGGAGTGGAGGGCATGTGGATGCCAGGTAAGCCCTGTGCCAGCAACAGACCCCTCTCTCTTGCGCGGCGAGGAGTGGAGGGCATGTGGATGCCAGGTAAGCCCTGTGCCAGCAACAGACCCCTCTCTCTTGCGCGGCGCGGAGTGGAGGGCATGTGGATGCCAGGTAAGCCCTGTGCCAGCAACAGACCCCTCTCTCTTGCGCGGCGAGGAGTGGAGGGCATGTGGATGCCAGGTAAGCCCTGTGCCAGCAACAGACCCCTCTCTCTTGCGCGGCGCGGAGTGGAGGGCATGTGGATGCCAGGTAAGCCCTGTGCCAGCAACAGACCCCTCTCTCTTGCGCGGCGCGGAGTGGAGGGCATGTGGATGCCAGGTAAGCCCTGTGCCAGCAACAGACCCCTCTCTCTTGCGCGGCGCGGAGTGGAGGGCATGTGGATGCCAGGTAAGCCCTGTGCCAGCAACAGACCCCTCTCTCTTGCGCGGCGCGGAGTGGAGGGCATGTGGATGCCAAGGGGGGGCTGGCAGGGAGAGTGCCAGACGGGTTGCAGGGCCCTGTGCTGCGGATAGGCGTGCCTGTGGGTAAGAGACCTGTACTAGCAACAGTCCCCTCTCTCTCGTTCCAGCAACTGGACGCCAAGGGGGGCTGGCAGGGAGAGGGCCAGACGGGTTGCAAGGCCCGGTGCAGATAGGCGTGCCTGTGGGTAAGAGACCTTTCTCTCTCACCCGCTCCCTCACATGGCGAGGAGCGGAGGGCACGTGGATGCCACAGGGGGATGACTTGCGAGGAGAGGGCCTGACGGTTTGCAGGGTCCTTGGGTGCCACAGGGGGCTTGGGTAGACGCGTGCCAGACGGACTACAGGGCCCTGTGCTGAGAATAGCTGTTCCCGTGGGTAAGCCCTGTGAGTAAGCCCTGTGGGTAAGCCCTGTCTGTGCTGCTAGCTGACACACCTCTCTCTCTTCCCAATGTGACTTTTGAGAATTCTCAAAAGTCGCACGAAGCTAGCTAGCTGACACCCCTCTCTCTCTTCCCAACGTGGCGAGGGGCGGGGGATAGGGACGCCAAGGGGGGCCTTGCGAGGAGAGGGCCTGACGGTTTGCAGGGTCCTTGGGTGCCACAGGGGGCTTGGGTAGATGCGTGCCAGACGGATTACAGGGCCCTGTGCTGAGAATAGCTGTTCCCGTGGGTAAGCCCTGTCTGTCTGTGCTAGCTAGCTGACACCCCTCTCTATCTTCCCAACGTGCTGACTTTTGAGTCGACTCAAAAGTGTTCCCGTGGGTAAGCCCTGTCTGTCTGTGCTAGCTAGCTGACACCCCTCTCTCTCTTCCCAACGTGCTGACTTTTGAGTCGACTCAAAAGTGTTCCCGTGGGTAAGCCCTGTCTGTCTGTGCTAGCTAGCTGACACCCCTCTCTCTCTTCCCAACGTGGCGAGGGGCGGGGGATTAGGGACTTCAAGGGGGGCCTTGCAGCGAGGAGAGTTCCTGAGGGATCGCAGGGGCAGGTTTTTTAGAATTCTCAAAAACCAGCTCGCAGGGGCAGGTTGTTCAAGTAGGCATGCCTGTGGTAAGATTCCTTGCACCGGTAATGACTAGGTGACTCTAGGGTCTTGTGCGCATTTTTGGCTCCCACATCCTTCTCCAGCCCCACACACACACACACTTACCGACGACTTTTGAGACGTCTCAAAAGTCTTCTCCAGCCCCACACACACACACTTACTGACGACTTTTGACGCGTCTCAGAAGTCTTCTCCAGCCCCACACACACACACTTACAGGGACGGTGGTGAAGCGCAAACGGGGAGGCATGTTCCTGGCTGATCCTTAATCTCCGCTCCTTTCCACCCCTTTTCCATGCTTTTCCATCCCTACCCACCCTTTCAAACCTCTCCCCACCCCACCTCACTCCACCCACCCACCAGGTACGGTGGTGAAGCGCAAGCGGGGAGGCAGGTTCTTGGCTGATCTGGCAAACCCTCTCCCGTGCCTTCTTCCACTCCCCTCCACCCCTTTCAACCTCTCCACCAGGCACGGTGGTGAAGCGCAAGAGGGGAGGCAAGTTCCTGGCAGACCTATTAGCCCCCAAGCCCCTTTCCAACCCCCCTCCACCGCTTACCAGCCCTTTCAACCTCTCTCCCTTCCCCCACATCCGCCCACCAGGCACGGTGGTGAAGCGCAAGCGGGGAGGCAAGTTCCTGGCAGATCTATTAGCCTTCTCCCAACCTCCTCCGCCACTTTCCACCCCTTTCAACCTCTCCACCAGGCACTGTGGTGAAGCGCAAGCGGGGCGGCAAGTTCCTGGCGGATTTGGCAAACCCGGGGGATGAAGTGGTGGTGGCGAGGGGAGGAAGAGGAGGGGTGAGTTGAGTCTAGGATAAAAAAATGGGAGCGGAGGGGGCCTGATTTGGGGAAGCAAGGGTTGGTCAGGGTGCTGTTTGTCCCTCCTCCACTCCTGGCTGATCTGGCGAATCCAGGAGATGAAGTGGTGGTGGCGAGGGGAGGACGAGGAGGGGTGAGTATGCCCCGGGGAGGGATGAGTTGGGGGAGTAAGAAGTGGTGAGTGTGGTTTCCGAGCTCAGGGTTTCAGTAAGGGTGCTGATGTTCCCTCCCCTCCTGGCTGATCTGGCGAATCCAGGGGATGAAGTGGTGGTGGCGCAAGAAGGAAGAGGAGGGGTGAGTGACTGGGGGAAAGGGTGAGTTGGGGGATTAAGGGGTGGTAAGTCTTGTTTCCAGGGTTTCGGTAAGGGTGCTGATGTTCCCTCCTCTCCTGGCTGATCTGGCTAACCGAGGAGATGAAGTGGTGGTGGCGCAAGGAGGAAGAGGAGGGGTGAGTTGGGGTGGTAAGGGCTGGTAAGGGGTGGTAAGGGCTGGTTCGTCTAAAATCAGGCTTCAAGTTTTGGGAGCTGTGGTTTCTCTCTTCCTCCTTTGGCTGAACTGGTGAGCCCGGGGATGAAGCGGTCGTGGCGAGAGGAGGAAGAGGAGGGGTGAGCTGGGGGGAAGGGGTTGAGAAACCCGGGTTTAAGGTTCGGGGTTTAATGAGGGATCTGTCTTTTTCCTGGCGGATCTGGAAAAACCGGGAGATGAAGAGGTGGTGGCAAGAAGAGGAAGGGGAGGGGCGAGCTCGGGATTTGGAGTTCAGGGTTTTGGTGTGGGCGCTGTTTTATATTTCTCTTTCACATCAAAATAAAGACGTCTCAAAAGAATAGCCACGTGATAAAAGTTGGGTTGTGAGACGTTTTGAGACGTCTCAAAACCCCACTTTTATCTGGGGGCGCTGTTTTTATTCTTCTCTTGCACATCAGGTCTTCACCACAATCCCTGTGAGCGATTTTTGAGAATTTTCGAAATACTTTTTGAGACATCTCAAAACCCAGCTTTTTATCACGGGTGCTGTTTTTATTTCTCTCTTTCACATCGAATCTTCACCACAATCCCTCTTCTTCACCTCTTCCCTCCCCGCTCCCACCACCCATGCACCACCCACCCCCCCACACCACACCACACCACACCACACCACACCACACCACACCACACCACACCACACCACACCACACCACACACCAGATCAGCGTGTACTAGCTGCCGGCTTCCAACCAGACTCATCTCCGCCCTGTGACGGTTCAGTGAGGCTCATGCAGTTGTCGCTGCTGGGATGTTCTACTCATCCCACTGCATCTCCGTTCCCTCTGCACCCCTCCCACACCACCCCTACCTCTAACCACAGACCAGCGTGTACTAGCTGCCTGCTTCCAACAAGGCCCACCTGCGCCCTCATCTGAAGGCACCGGCAGGACTGACAGCAGGCAAAAGGGGCTGCTGAGTGCTCATCCAAGGCAGCTTCACAATCCCTCTTTACCCTTCTCCACTCCCCTGTATCCCATCAGATCAGCATGTACGAGCTGCCTGCTTCCAACAAGGCCCATCTGCGCTCTGTGACGGTTCAGCGAGGCTCATGCAATGGTTACTGCTGGGATATTCTGTTGATCCTAATGCACGCGCGTTAGGATGAATAGATCAATGGTTTCTCCGCACTCCCTCTCCCCCGCCACACACTTGTCCCCTCAGATCAGCGTGTATGAGCTGCCTGCGTCCAACAAGGCCCACCTGCGCCCTGTGAAGGCACCCTTGGGAACCACAGTGATGAGCGCACCAGAGGACAAGGTGGGTGCAAGGGGGGGCATATGCAAGACAGTTGATGGGGGGTTGAGAGGGTACGTGGTTGCTTGCTGCGTCCAACAAGGCGCACCTGCGCCCTGTGAAGGCACTCGCAGGGACGACAGTGATGAGCGCACCAGAGGACAAGGTGAGGGGGGTGCCAGGGTGGGGAGGATAGGGGGGGGAGATTGGGCGTTAAGGGCCTGCACTGCACTACCCGCATTGCGCCCTGTGAAGGCACCATTAGGGAACCACTGTGATGAGCGCACCAGAGGACAAGGTGGGTAGAAAGGGGAGGATACGGTAAGGTGGGTGAGTGAACACGGCCCTGTGAAGGCACCGGCAGGCCCCACAGGGATGAGCGCACCAGAGGATAAGGTGGGTGTGGGTGAGGGGGAAGAATGAGAGGTGAGGGCTTTTGCCTGCACTCCCAGCAGCACTGCTCCCTGTGAAGGCACCGGCAGGCCCCACAGGGATGAGCGCGCCAGAGGACAAGTTGAGCGTGAGGTGGGGAGGGGAGGGGGGGTTGAATAGGAATGAAGTCGGTTGCTGGTGCAGGCTCGCATGCTGCCTCCCTGTGAAGGCACCGGCAGGCACCACTGTGATGAGCGCGCCAGAGGACAAGGTGAGCGTGAGGTGGGGCATAGAGGTGGGGGACTCCTGCAGGCACCACAGTGATGAGCAAACCAAGCCAGAGGACAAGGTGGGTGGGGAGGGGAGGGGAAAAGGGAGCTGCCTGATACGGTGTGGTATTGGACATTAGCGAGTCAGCACTGTCTCAAAATGCCTTCACAAAATAACGAATAAATAAACAAAAAATGTTCTCCAAACGTTCTTCACTATTTCCAACCAAGCGTTTTGCAAACACCAGACTTTGATGCTTTTCCCTACTTGAGCATTGGAGTGGTTTTCGTGATTGTCTTCTATCCCTCGAACACACACATCGCAGCATTGGAGTGATTTTATTGTGAAGCACTCATAATTCACACATCCCCCTTTCCCTCCCCCTCTCCCACACCCACAGCAACTGACGTACGGGTCGCAAGGTGAGGAGGCAGCATTGGAGCTGACTTTGCGAGTGGTGGTTGCAAGGATGCAAAACGTCTCATGACTCACACACACTTACACACCTTCGTCCCTCTCCATTTCCGGGCCTCTCCCTTCCCTCCAACCCACAGCAACTGACGTACGGGTTGCAAGGCGAGGAGGCAGCGTTGGAGCTGACGCTGCGAGTGGTGGCCGATGTGGGGCTCGTGGTGAGTGAGGGGGAGGGGGGGCCTAATGGGGGAGGAATTTAGAAAAAGGGGTTGAGAAACGAGCCAAGGGGGGAAGAAGGGGGGCGCTAGTGGGTGGGAGTGTTGGAGCTGACGCTGCGAGTGGTGGCCGATGTGGGGCTTGTGGTGAGTGAGTGGGGAATGGAAGGGGGAAATTGTTGGGGGAAAGTGGGAGAGAGTAAGGAGGAAGCAGGGGAAATGCTGGCGTTGTGACTTTTGAGTCGACTCATAAGTCAAAAGTCTTTTGAGTCGACTCAAATGTGGGAAAGGTAAGGAGGAAGCGGGGGAAATGCAGGCGTTGGAGCTGACGCTGCTAGTGGTGGCACATGCGGGGTACGGCCCTCATGCTGCTGTTGCTATCTCTCCCCCGCACCCCACCTCACCCGCACCCCTCCTCTCCCACCACTCCTCGCTCCCCCTTCCACTCCCCTATCAGGGCTTCCCCAATGCGGGAAAATCGTCCCTAGTAGCAGCAGTAACTGCAGCACGGCCGGAAATAGCAGACTACCCCTTCACGACCCTCATGCTTTGCTGCTTCTATCTCCCCCACCCCCCTACCTGCCCACTTATACCCGCAACAGGGCCTCCCCAATGCAGGAAAATCATCCCTGCTAGCAGCAGTAAGCGCAGCTCGGCCGGAGATAGCCGACTACTCGTTCAGAACCCTCATGCTGCTGCTGCTATCCCCCCCCCCTTCTTTACCCCACCTCCCTCCTCTCTCTCCGTCCCTCCCACCACTCCTCGTTCCTCCTTTCCTCCCCCATCAGGGCTTCCCCAATGCAGGGAAATCGTCCCTGCTAGCAGCGGTAACCACAGCACGGCCGGAAATAGCAGACTACCCCTTCACGACCCTCATGCCGAACCTGGGCCGCATGCCTGCCGATCCTGCTGGTCCGGATGGCGGGTTCGGCGACGGGCCTACCCTGGCAGATCTGCCAGGGCTGATAGAAGGGGCGCATGTGGGGAAGGTGGGTACTGGGGAGGGGACGGTAACTGGGATACGAAATATGTACGAATGCGGGATGGGAGATGTACACTGCAGGGTTCAGCGACGGGCCTACCCTGGCGGACCTGCCAGGGCTGATTGAAGGGGTGCATGTGGGGAAGGTGGGTACTGGGGAGGGGTAACTGGGATATGGATGATGTGTGTGTGAATGCGGCATCAGGGAAACTAGGAATATATGAGGGAAAAGTATTAAGGCATGGGTGCTTCTAAGACTGGCCAACTCTGGCGGATCTGCCAGGGCTGATTGAAGGGGCGCATGTGGGGAAGGTGAGAACCAGGGAACGGGGGAGACTGGGATGTGGATGGAGGTGCACTGTAGGGTTCGGCGACGGACCTACCCTGGCGGACCTGCCAGGGTTGATCGAAGGGGCGCACGTGGGGAAGGTGGGTACTGGTGTGGGTGGGGAGGGGGTGAATAAATAGCCTGGGGACGGACCTACCCTGGCGGATTTGCGTGGCCTGTGTGCTTCTTGCCACTTGCTTTTTCATCCTCGCATCCCAACTTTCCCTCCCACCCCAGCCGTCCATCTTTCCCGTACCTTCCTCCTCCCCCCTCCCCCTCACTCCTCCAATACAATCCCCTCTCACCAGGGCCTGGGTCGCATGTTCCTTCGTCACCTGCGCCACACCCGAGTGCTGCTACACGTGCTCGAAGCGTCTGCTTCAACCTTTCTTCCCCTGCCTTACAATTCATTACCTCACCTTCAGGGCCTGGATCGCATGTTTCTGCGCCACTTGCGCCACACCCGGGTGCTGCTGCACGTGCTCGATGCCTCTGCCTAACCTTCCTCCTCTGCTTTAACCTCGCTTCTCCCTCCCATCCTCTTCCCTCTCCACCCACCCCCCTCCCCCGAATCTCACCAGGACCTGGGTCGCATGTTCCTGCGTTACCTGCGCCCCACCCGGGTGCTGCTGCACGTGCCGAATGCTTCTTCACAACCACCTTTCTCTGCTTCAACCCCCTTCTCCCTGCCACTCCCTTTCTCCTTTTACCAGGACCTGGGTCGCATGTTCCTGCGTCACCTGCGCCCCACCCGCGTTCTGCTGCAACCCTAACCTCCCTTCTCCCTCCCATCCTCTCCCTCATCCCCCCCCCCATTCTCACCAGGGCCTGGGTCGCATGTTCCTGCGCCACTTGCGCCGCACCCAGGTGTTGCTACACCCCCAACCTCCGTCCTTAACCGCTCTTCTTCCTTCCCTCCTCTTCCGCCCTCCCCCATTCTCACCAGGGCTTGGGTCGCATGTTCCTGCGCCACCTGCGTCGCACGCGTGTGCTGCTGCATGTGCTGGACGCATCTGCGCCTGATCCCATTCACGACTATGTGGTGTTGAGAGAGGTGAGGAACGGTTTGGATAGTCATGGCAAGGAGTAGGTGCTTCTGAGAGTGCTGCTGCACGTGGTGGACGCATCTGCGCCTGATCCCATTCACGACTACGTGGTGTTGAGAGAGGTGAGGTGAGGTGAGGTGAGGTGAGGTGAGGTGAGGTGAGGTGAGGTGATGGGTGCATGGGAACGGTGGTGAGTAGGCTTGTCACTCTCAAGAGTGCTGCTGCATCTGCTGGATGCATCTGCGCCTGATCCCATTCACGACTACATGGTGTTGAGAGCGGTGAGATGGGTTCATGTGAGTGCATGGGGGGATGGTGGAGAATAGGCTAGTCGCACACGGGTGCTGCTGCACGTGCTCGATGCATCTGCGCCTGACCCCATACACGACTACGTGGTGTTGAGAGCGGTGAGGAACGGTTTCAATGGTAACGACTAGGCACTCTCTGGAGTGGTGCTGCTGCACTCGGTGGATGCCTCTGCTCCCGACCCCATCCAAGACTAGGTGAGAGAGGTGTAGAGAGAGGTGAGATGATTCGGGGGAAGGGTCTTTTGAGGCGCCTCAGAAGCCGACCCCATCCAAGACTATGCGGTGTAGAGAGAGGTGAGATGATTCGGGGGAAGGGTCTTTTGAGGCGCCTCAGAAGCCGACCCCATCCAAGACTATGCGGTGTAGAGAGAGGTGAGATGATTGCGGGGAAGGGCTTCGCCAACCCTAAACTTTTTCCAATACCAATTTTCTCCCATCTCTGTTCCCACAGGAGCTAATGATGTATAACCCAGGGTACATTTCACCTGCCCATCTCTCTTGCTCCTCTCACCTGCACCCCTTTCTCCTCCCTCCAATGTTCCTCACTGCTCCAATCTCTCATCCCTCAGGAGCTAAGAATGTATAACCCAGAATACACCAGTCGCCCTCACATTCTCGTGCTCAACAAGATAGACCTACCCGAGGTGAGCCTTCCCCCCGGACCTGCACATGTCACCCATCAAACGAGATGACTTTTGAGTCGACTCAAAAGTCACCTGCCCATGTCACCCATCAAACACTGGCCCATCCCATCGCCCATCCCATCGCCCATCCCATCGCCCATCCCATCGGCCCCATATTCTCATGCTCAACAAGATCGACCTACTTGAGATGAGCCTTCCCTCTTGCCTTGCTTTGCTATACGTTTCCATACCATACCATACCACGCCACACCATTCCATACCATACCATACCATACCACACCATACCATACCACACCATACCATACCACACCATACAATACCATACCATAACTACACCATACCATACTATACCATACCATACCATTCCATACTACACCACACCACACCATACCATACCATACCATACCATACCATACCATACCATACCATACCATACCATACCATACCATACCATACCATACCATACCATACCATACCATACCATACCATACCATACCATACCATACCATACCATACCATACCATTCCGTACCAATCAGTTGTGTCATAGCATGTCGTATGATAGTTTCCCGTAGAGATTCATGTCACAGCTCCAAGTGTGTTACGCAGGCGTCCAATCCCATAGCACAGCATTCTGTAATTGCATGTTCAATGGCCCCTGCTTTTCAGTTGACTGCCATGGCATGTTCAATAGCACACGTCCGATTTCATAGCATGGCGTTCTGCCATTGCATAGTGTTCAATGCCTTAGTTCTAAACCTCCCAGCACTTCGCTCCCTTTCTTCCGGACCTCATTCCAGGTTCGTGAGCGCATCCCGGACCTGACAAGTCAAATCTCCCAGCTGACGGCATCGAGTCAAGCAGAAGAAGCTGACGTCAGTGGACGGATCGCCTCTCCATCTTCTTCCCCTCCTCGAGGCTACACTGAGGAGGGCTCTTTGAGGAGGCTAGACGACGACTGGGAGGAATCGAGGGAATCAAGAGGAGCTGATGGTGACAGTGATGGCGATGTGACCATGTATGCTGATGATGATTCTGATGGTGGTGATGCGGAAGCATCGGCAACTGAGCGGTTGGAGCCTCCCATTGCCATCGTGCACATCAGCGCACGGTGCGTCTACTGCTCTCGTTCCTTCCCCATTGGTGCTCATGTTACTTTTGAGAGCTATGCTGATACTTGAGCATCTCAGCGTTCGAATCTGTTATGCTGATGCATCAGCATGTCAGCTTTTGGATCTTTCTATTGCCATGATGCACATACTTTTGAGGCGACTCCAAAGTTGTAATCATGCACATCAGCTCACGGTGTGTCTGCTGCTCTCATTCACACACGAGCACGTGCATCTGGTCCAATCACCACCGTTCACATCAGCACATGCACGCACCTGGTCCAATCACCATCGAGGCAGGCATAGAGGACCTGCTGACAGTGGTGTGAGAGGCAGTGGAGACATTTGTTCCTTCTCTCGTTCCCCTCATTCCCCTTCTGCGCGCTCTTCTCTCTTTCCTCATCCCCCCTTCTCTCCCTTCATCCCCCTTTCCCCCCAATTTCACGAGGGACGGGGAGGGCATAGAGGAGCTGCTGGCAGTGGTGCAAGAGGCAGGGGGGTTGTTCGCCCCTCCCCTTCTCCCCCTCATATTCCTTGTGCTGGTTCTCTTCTCATATCCCTCATCCCTCTATCCCTTGATTCGACCAGGGACGGGTAGGGCATAGAGGAGCTGCTGACAGTGGTGCGAGGGGCAGTGTGCGTGCCTTCTGGTGCCTCCACTTGTCTCCACTTGCCTTCCCTTGTCTCCCTCCCTCATACCCCTTCTGCACTTTCTCTTCTCATCCCCCCCTTGATTTCACCAGGGACGGGGAGGGCATAGAAAACTTGCTAACGGTGGTGCGAGAGGCAGTGGAGGCGGAGAGGAGGGGGGAGCTGCGGGGAGGGGAGGGGAGGTTGGGGGGGAGGGTGGGGGGGAGAGGAGGGATGGCACGAAGGAGCAGCAGGGGGGCGCAGGGAGGGGTGGAGAGAGAGAAGGCACCTCAGTGGCAGCTGTGACTGTTTAGGGAAGCATTATCTTGGGATGTCCTAAAAGGTCTCGTAATCTCTTTATCATGCAGGCAACAGCAGAGCGGGGCAGTGTAGTGGAATCATATCATGAAATGGGATGGTTTTGTCAGAATAACTGTGCAGGAATGATTGGATTAGCAAGAGTTGGGGTACAAGTACTAACCCTAGAAGTGCTGTACCCCATAAGGAGTGCCCCACTATAGCCTACAAGTGAGATTGTACTTTGACAGGTAGTTGTTTCTATTGTGGTATTGTTGATTGTAGATCTCTATATTGCAAAATGTGCAGCATGTTTTATGATATTCTTTCTCTGAACCCAGCCTTGACCGTCTCAAGATGTCTGCCCCGTTGAGCATTCAACCACTACCGGTACCTTGTATCTCTCTCATCCTTTCATGGTTCCCATAAATAGTGTATAGCCTATTGCGCATTGAATTGTTTCGTGTTATTTACTGTCCTACCGTGAGAAGTTGCTAATATTGGATTTCGCTGCTTCACCATTGTGGGTTGGGCTATTGCCGCGCTGGCTCCTTGTCAGAAAGCCCGAGTCTGACAGGGAGGAGGCGTTTGCAAACTTTGAAATCGTGGACCTCTGGGAGAAACGTGCGACACACGACAGCGAGGTCCAGGTCATGCGGCAGCGTGGTCGTTTGGCGCCAACAATCTGGGTCATGGAACTTTCTAGGTTTTGAAAGGTTTTGTGGAACTCAAAATACTGTCTGGGCAAGTGAAGAGGCCCAAATGCCAGCACATGTCCAATCAAAACGTTGCAGTGACGTGTTCCATCAACAAGAAACGGCAGGTTTGCCGGCCATGCTGACCAAGGCGGCTCGAGAAATCCTAAACTCGAATTTACCTGCGCTTTGAAAGCATCATCGTCGTTCATGTCCTACTTCGGCGGAATTGGAAACCAGCTCGCTCGTCGCAACACCTTCGGTCTCTGGAAGCTGACATCGACGGCACGAACGAAACTCCAATACTTACCGCTCTGAATCGCCAACAAGTCGGAACGGACCACATCGTCTTCGCACATCGCACCCAGGTGGGTATCCTTGCTGACGAACGTCCAATCAACCGTCTCTCTCCACATCGAACGACTCACCACCATCCGTGCGAAACGATCAGCCCATCCACTCCCTCAACCGTTTCCCCCGTCGCATGATGGCCATCTTGCGACTGCACCCACTTGACTCCCTGGAAATCGTCAAAAACGCTCCCAAATCAACATCGCGCCTCGGGAAAATGTGATGTGTCTGTCGGTCAAGGGAGCTCAGCTCAAAGAAATCGTTACCTACCCGCAAACCGTGAGAAGCGGCGTGACGCAGCCACGAATTTCACTTCATGGCAACCACAAAGGAAGTTCACTAGCCAATGAGCACTTCCCTCTGACGTACCTTGCTTGGGTGGGTGATCCGACTGGGCCAATCGCCACCGAGCCGCCGAGCCGCCTTTCACGCCTGCGACAGCACGGCAGCAGCCACTTGGAATCCCTCGAGGGTTCCAGTGGTTCGTCGATCTGTTCCGCGAACCAACCTGACCGCACCAACCAAACACGTCACGTGTGCCCCTCCCATCAGTGTAGGGCTTCCCTTCACACGTCACCTCACCTCACTCAGGGGTTACCCTGTGCCGCGCGTCGCATGCGGTTAGGTTGGTTTCCACACTCTTCACTACGGTTCTTAGCCAGTACCAAATATCACCGTAACGCACCAGACCTGACCGTGATAAAACTCTTCCTAATCATGCTGAACCCAACTTCGGAGTTTCCACACATCATCACACTTCTCCAGACGAACTGTTCGACCAGCCAAAGCGGTTCCACTGTTCTCCAGTCCACGCACACGGACTGTTATTCCGTCAAGTCAAAAGCTTGTCTCGGCTTCTCCCAGGCCCGATCCGAGAACATCACAACAATCATCATCGTCTTAGCTCGATCGCGAGAGTATTTGACCCTGCTGGCTCTTTGGACTTTTCATTATTATCTGTTTGTTTCACACGCTTCGCAGTTTGGCAAATCCGACGCCTCGTAGGTTTAGCGTAATCCCTATTGAGAAGTCACCGTTCGAGATCTATCGACAGCTTATTTCTTGGCCTCGTCGAAATTCTTCTGACATCTGTAAACCTCGCGCGCCTTGATCAACAGAACCTTAGTAGACTTCACCTTGTTGCAGTATCTCGTGACCTGTCTAGTCTCGCCTAGCCTACCTATTGTGTTTTTCACGAACGCTTTATTCACGAACGGCTGTAACTTCGAGCATGACGTTCGTCGCGTCCGACGCGTCTCAGTCACACCCTCGGACAGTCACTCTTGACACCTCTCATCCTCATCATAAGCCTCGGACAATCACACGTACGGTCCGCGTTTGGCCCGACAGGACCGACGACGCTTCTCACCCTCTTTCTCGCGTCTCCGAAGCCCACGCCTGTAGAAACGGGTTCGCCACGTCAGTGCCAGCAAGGACCGGCCATATGCCTGCGAAGAACTCGTCAGCAGTAGACGTTGACGCTGCAAGTGCGCGCCGCGTTTGCGATCAGTTTGCAGCTTCTCCCGCGTCGGCCGCGGGACGAGTGTCGCAGTCTCAGTTGACTTCAATTCCAGAATCCTCTCCTGCTTCAATGATGTCCTGGCTATCCTCGGAAGAAGCGCGTGGTGCAGCAGGCTTAGCGCGACACTGGATAGACGCGAGTTCGGAGCTCAGATTCGCATCATATCAGTCTAATACGCACTCGCCGGCGATGCCTTTTTCAGGTGTAGCTTGCGGTTCGTTGAAGCGCCAAAGAGACGAGATGCGGGACGGGCTTTCAGAGCTTGCCCAGCGTAAGGAACAGCGATCCTGTTGCAAGATGAACGGCAAGAGTATCGCCTCTGCGGGTGCTGCAGAGCAGGCTCGGCTTCGCGGTGCGGCTTTTCTTGACTCGACTCAGAAATCGGCTTTTCCGGAGCTCCTGCCTGCGCCAGCCGCGGAAGCTGACGTGGCCTTCCCGTCGGGTCCCTCCGGTGTGGTGAGTCCTGTGTGGGAGTCGAACTCGGGACTTCTAGCAGGCTCTTTACTAGGAGGGTCCTTAACAGGAGCTTTGGCAGACTCGCCGGTTTTATACGAGGAGCGGTTCGTTGATCCGTTATGGAATCACGGACTGACGTACTCGGTTTATCCGGCAGATTATAATGCGGACGGCGGAGTTTTCGCGACGGCGGCTGCAGCAGGCGCGGGAGAGGATGCGGGGGAAGACTATAACGGGGATGCTGTGGACGTGCCGCGAATCGACTCATCGGCGCATATTAACGATCTTATAGCGCAGTACTCTCGAGCAGACGTTGTCGCAGCGGCTGACGCGGCGGAAGCGACGGCGGCGGCGACTCTCGTTTTTCCGTCTGACGACGCATCCGCATCTCGCGGATTCCCGTTCTCCTTCCGTCAGCCGCGATTTGACGGGCCATCTGGTTCCGCCAGCGCTGGCGGCGCTGCCGTCTGGTTGGAAAACTCGGCTGCGCGCTCCGACAAATTCTTACTGTCGGGGCCGCGTCTGAATTCTGATTCTCGTGATTGGATTGTCGCGGCGCCGTACGACCGCTTTAATCGGCTTCCGGGAGTCGCGGAGGAGGTTGACGAGCCGCGGGAATCAGGGCCCCAGGAAAGTGACACGTGGGAGGTGCTGCGGGCAGGCAAGCGTCTGCGGACGGGCAAGGAAGCGCAGCGGGCAGATTCACGGGCAGACGATACATCGCGGGCAGAGGTCGAGACTCCAGGAGTGAAGGAGACGAAGCGTGACGCGGAGGGGATCGTAGCGGGAGAGAAGGAGAAGGACCCTGCTGGTGCAACGACAGGTGCTGCAGATGCAGAGACGAGCCTCGTGTCGGGAAGCCTTGCAGCGGGATTGCTCGCTGGTTGGGCCCACGCGACGGCTGTAGCGGAGTTGCCGGCTGCAGCAGACGCTGTTGCTGACTTGCCGGCTGTAGCGCTGGATGTCACCTCGACGCCGTACCACACGCCACACATGACGCCGTATCACACGCCGGAGCGCCACGTGGGTGCTGACCTGGCGGGTCTCCAGGCGGCGCAGGGAATGCCGGACGCGTGTGCTGCTGGCACGGAACTTCCTGCTGACGTGGCGCATCCAGGGACGGGGGTTGCTGAGTTGGGTTTGCTGGAGGACACGTGGCAGGTTTCTAGCAGCACGAAGCATGCGATGAGGGAGTGGCTTGAAACGGTAGGGGGAACGGGGGAAGCGGGGGAAGGGGAAGGGGAGCGAGAAGGAGGGGGGGACGAGGGGGAGGGGGAAGATGGTTCGGATCCCTTGGATTGGCTGCTGAAGGCGTCTCCTCCGCGTATCCACGAGGGTGATTTACCAAGCGAGGGTGTTTTACCCCAGGGTGATGTTTCAACACACTGGGGTGTTTTACCCAAGTGGGTGCTGGAGGAGCTGGAAGGGGCAGGAGAAGAGGAGGGGGTGGAAAAGAAATACGATCTTGAGGACTATATGGAGGAGGCTTTTAGCGAGGATGAGGGTCTGCAGGTCCTGGTGCGAGCGGATTCCCATGAGAGCTCCACTGCTGCGCCATCTGTATACAGTCCGTGGTCCAGAGTGGTGGAGAGTGGTGTTAGAGCTGCAGAGGAGGGGGAGACACAGGTAGTTAAGAAGCAGCAGCAGGAGGAGGAGGGGAACGGGAAGCAGCAGCAGCAGGATGTGCCATCTGCATGGATGAACGGCTGTGATTCGATTGGTCTGGGCCTTGAGTATGCAGCAGTGGAGGAATCGGAAGGAGGAGGTGAGCAAGGGGAGGACGTGGCTGATGTGGCGATTGGAGAAGCTTCTGGGAAAGATTCGGTGTCGCTTGCATGGAGGGAGGAGCAGGAGGATGAAGGGCAGGAGGAGGAAGAGGAGAGGGTTGGGGAGTCAGCAGCTGTGGGGAGTTCTGATGCAGATGATGGAGCAGATTTTGATTCTGGTTCTGATACTGCTGGTGATGCTGATGCTGCTGGTGATGGTGATGGTTCTGAGGATGGTGCAGGGTGTGAACCTGATGGGTTCAGTTTTGATGAGAGCAGTTTTGGTCGAGAGATTGAGGCTCAGCTGCTGGCTTGAGCGTTTTTGCAGCAATGAGGTGCTGATGCGGGGTCCGTTGCTTACTCCTCTCACTCCCTTGCTGCTGCTGTTGCAGTGCGACTGACCTCTGACTGTAGTAGCTTCTGATGTGGGTAGTACGAATAGTTACTGTAGACACGAGGGTTTTCGGATGGTTGAATGTCTCACTGTAGGATTCTCTTGTACATATTGTAGAGTCTCATCATTCTTTGGTTCTGCTTGTAGCTCCTTGTCTGAAGTAAAAATGTGTGAACCTCAGTGCTACAGATGTCTCTAACGAATCATTACAGCTACCTTGACTGAGGAAAGAACGCCATGCTTCAGATAGTACTGGTACCGTACTGGTACTGGTACTGGTTTATATACTACCGGTTCAGTACTTCAGATCGAACAATACCTCCGTGCATAGTCACATTTACATACAGTAACATCGCAGTACATTCATTAGGCACCAGTGAACACAAAGTTCCTTTTGTGTGCACCATAAAAAATGTACCTTAGGATTTGAGGGGAGCTTTACAGCGCTCAGCGTCAATTCAACAAAGTACGGATCCCAACGAATATTACAATAAAGTACGGTATACCTACCACACAGTGAAGATTTCATAGCTCTTTCACCATAGTCCACAGTACACAAGTGTACTCTGTTCTCATCATAGACCTTGGGTTCGAAGTGTAGTTTGTCGTTACTGTTTCTTCCCGCTCTAGTCTAAAACCGCACTGTAGTGCTATTTTCTTCACATCTGCTGCACTCAACTCGATAGATAATTCATCCGACCCATCAGGAGCTACTGTATCAGCGAAGTGGTACAGTAGCGGGCCGATATTCACCCAAACTCCGCCCGGCCGAAGCAGCTTATAAAGAATCTCGATGTAGTTTACAATGTTGTGTGCTGTATCAATAAAGAAGCACGTTGCTACACTGTCCCATGCACCTGTGGTGGTTCCAGGGAGAGCAGGGATGGTAAGAGGGAGAGAAAAGGGAGAATGGGGCATTGGTAGTGTATGGGGAGGCAAGAATAGGAGGAAAGATTTGGGGCGGAATTTAGGGGCAAGATACGGTGGGATGTACGATCGGGGGACAAAATGGGGGGCTATGCAGGGGGAAAGCAAACGTGTGAAATTGCTCAGTGTTCCCACATACCAAATTCACTCACTGGTACTTACCTTGTCACCTAGCCAAGGCCATCGCCGATGGCGATCCAAGCTTACACCTCTCAACTGGATGGCTCCAAGACTACCTCTTTGCTTCGCATGGTACCTAGCCTAACTCTCTGCTCTGGATGGCTCCAAACCTACACTCCAAGCTTACCTTTCAGCTTCGGATGACCCCAAGCCTACCTCTCTGCTCCGGGTGGCTGTAAACCTCCACAAAATCGCCTGCGCACATGGAGAATCCATCAGTGATCCCCGCTAGGCTCGGCACCAGGTCCGGGACAAGCACGGGCCGAAGCTGATCCTCATCCGTCAGGTTATTCGAGCTGGAAAGGATCCAGGGGAAGATGCAAAACTGCCCAGGAAACTCGGGGTAATTGAGGAGGAAACCCGAGCAGATGAGGATGTAATATGAAAAATCGTTCCCCTGGGTTTCGAATCCCAGGCGAGAAATTTCTAGGGCAAGTCGCCCTAAGCCTGCTCCTGGAACTAGGCAGGTAGGGGTGTGAAGATGGGACGAGTGAAGGGAATCCTGCTGCTGCTTCTGCTGTTCCTGCTGCTGCTCATTCTGCTCTGAGGTTGCTTGTTGTCCTGGGCTGCTGTTCCCATCTGCTTTCCTCAGCCCAGGAAACTTCCTATGAAGCTCCCTCAAGATGGGAGCATAGCACTGTTCTCGCTCTGCCGCGCCCTCCGCCGCCCAGTCGCGAACTATGTTCCGAAGCACGCACCGAACCTTGTCCACATCAGCAGGAGGCACGTCCGGGAGATCCCGAGGCAAGGGGAACCAAGGAGGAGGGTACACCCGAGGCACATTGGAAAAGGATGACTTGAGGGATTGCTGAGCTGGAACTGCTACAGGGGTTACATCTGGCGTTACATCAGCAGGTACATCAGGAGTTACATTTGGAGTTGGGGGAAACTTGCTTGAAAGTTGTTGGGTTGCTGCTGCTGGGTCCTCCCTTCCTCCTCTCTCCTCCTTGCTTCCTCCTCTTTCCTCTTCGCTTTTGAGAAATTCCTGTTGTTCGTCTTGCCCCATAGGTTCGTCCATCACAGGAAGGTTCCTGGCAGTTGCAGAAGAAGTTTCAGGAGCAGTTTTGAGACTTTTGGGTGATAACTCTTCCTTATGTGGCTGCTGCTGCTGCCGCTGCTGCTGCTGCTGGTGCTGGTGCTGGTGCTGCTGCTGCTGCTGGTGGTAAGTATGGTGATGGTCAGAGTGAGATTGAGCATGGGCATGGGCATGGTCATGGGAATGGGCATGGGCATGGGCATGGGAATCGTCATGGTTATTCTGACATGCATAGCCATCATGACCCATCGAAGAATGAGGGGGAGGGAAGGGCGGCTCAAATGCTTGCAGCATTTCAGTGAGAAAGCGGGCATTGTGAGCAATGCGCCTGGAGGGAAGGGAGAGGAGGGAGGGGGGTAAGGAGGGGATGAAAGGGAGCACAGTTGGTGAAACAGAGGCTTAAACGCTTGCAGCATTTCTGTGAGAAAGCGGGCGCTGTGTGCAATGCGCCTGGAGGGGGAGGGGGGAATGGAGGGGTGGAGTGGGGGACGGAGGGGGGGAGGGAAGGGGGGATGGAGGGGGGGATGGAGGGGGGAAAGGATGGCCAGGAAAAAGGAGGTATGGATGGAGGGGGCCGAGGAGGGACGGGTGAGGCACGAGCACAATACAACATGCTTATAAACATTCAAAATAAGAGCAAGCGATAGGAGTGACTGGATGGGAGAGGGCAAGTTAAACGGATTCTCATAGTTCGAAAAGACTTTTGAGATGTCCTGGAGCACTCAAACGTCCATGATTCAAGAAACAAAAGACGTTTGAGTCGTGCACACGCGAGTGCTTGAAACAAGACACGTGTGTGCTGAGGGGTGAAGACTAGCATAAAACCACGAAGTTTCAACCCAACCACAAGCGAATAGAGGCATATTTAGCAGGCACGTGTGACAGCAGTGCCCAAGTAGTGTCAACCCTTCCCCCTATCCATAGCAGTCTGTTTACTGGTCTAAGCAGAACCAGAGGTGAAACCACTCACATGCGAATAGAGGCATATTTGGCTGGCAGGTGCGACAGCAGAGCCTGCAGAACAACAGACAGAGAGAATCGAGTAACACTTTGAGAATATAGGCAAGCGAATAATGCCACATAGTGAATTCACCTTTAAGGAGAGCGTAAGGGGGAATGAGTAATGCATGGAACTATGCACAAAGAAGGGAGAGTGAGGGGAGAGTGTGAGGGGCGGTGGGAGGGGAGGGTGAGAGAGGAGAGCGAGAAGAGGGGAGGGATGGGGAGGAAGAGCGAATGAGAAGGAACACAGCATAAGGGGGAATTGGAGAGAGAGGCATCAACGAAACCCCCCACCTGCTGACGTGGCGGCAGCCTGGCATAGGCTCGCTCCCATCGCTGCACCGTCCAATCAGCAGCAAACGGGTAGCTGCGAGGGGGAAAAGATACGGTAAGCAGGGAGCAATGTTCTGATATGGAATCAGGCATAGGCTCGCTTGCTCCCACCGTTGCACCGTCCACTCAGCAGAGCTCAGCTCTGTACCAGCAGGATCCCCAATTAATCCCATGACTGAATCTGATTCACAAGATTACTGTACTTCAATGATTGAATCACGAATGCACAGAAAGAAGTCAGATTATAAAATCGCTAAATGAGTAATCGCGGGTGATTGCATCGCATGTGCAGGGATTTCATCTCTTCCCTCGCGTCCCATCCTCTCCTGTACCCGTTATTGCAACAGTCACATCACTTATTTCATATACGCAGCGATCAGGCGGGAAAGTGAGTTTATCTCCTCCTAGGTGTCCAGCTGAATCCACTCATGTACCCGTAATTGCATGCACCAATGGAAGAATCGCATAATCACTCACTTCATATAAGCAGCGATCACGCGGGACAGAGATTTCATCTCTTCCTCTGTGTCCAGCTTCGTACACGTGGCGCCGTCGCCCTCGTCCGCATCCAACGAGACTCCGCCACGTGGATCCGTGATTTCAGCCGCGACATGCGGGAGCGCGTGTGCATGCTCCGCTGTTCCTCCCACATCTGGCGGCAGACCTCCCATTTCAGCACTCCCCACAACTCCCGCTGGATTTTCACCCGCTGAACGGCCCCCGTCTGAACCCTCCGCTTCCGCAATATTCTCCGCGGCAGGCATGCCGAAAAGGCTGTATGGCTTGAATTGACTAGAAAGAGTCAAACCAAATGAATAGCGCAACGGCTGAATGCCTGGTCGGTTATCTCGGTAGTGATACTTGCCGATCAAATTAGGAAATTACCATGAATGGACGGAAAGGAAGGACTAGGCTGAGCGATCAAGGAAGAATTGAAGTGGAGCGAAGTGTGCACCCTGGAATTGCAGCGGTTTGTAAACTCCTCGATATAAGGTATTATGATGGATTGTAAGAATCAGTTTGAATGATTCTCACTGACATTCTTTTGACTGTTTACGCCGAACACTGAAACGAGGATTCTCTTTTCCCTGAAATCACATTCAAGATTCTCAACAATCGACAACAACGAAACGGCATTCGCCAATCATTTTCGGCATGCCTCATTGGTCACAAAAAGGATCAGCATCCGTCACAACCAATCCGAAGTTGCCTGACTCACCCTGACCCTCAGTGTGTGTCGGCCCCCGAGTGGACCACGCGGTTCGCCAGGTCACTGACGTTTCGTGGGTGCAGGACGCACGTGAAGAATGAGGTTCTGCTGGTTTAATTTCGGTTCGGCTGGTTTAGTTTTGATTCGGAACGGTCTGTAATGGTACAGCGACTTTGTTATCCAAATTCCCCAACCACAAGACAAAAACCACTCAAGTCGAATTCCAAGAATAAATGCTACCCAAATCCCTCAGACACTCAAGCTCAGCACTTCCAATCAACAACCTTACACTTCGGTTCGTTCATTCAGATATCATGGCCGCCCTCGCCAACGCTGCCGTGCTCCCCTCCACCTTCGTCGGCCAGAGCGCTGAGCTCGCCGCCAAGGTCAACAATGTCGAGGCCCGCGTCACCATGAGGAAGACCGCCAAGGCGGCTTCCAGCAGCGCCTTCTACGGCCCCGACCGCAACCTGTTCCTGGGCCCCTTCAGCTCCCCCCCGTCTTACCTCACTGGCGAGTACGCCGGTGACTACGGCTGGGACACCGCCGGTCTGTCCGCTGACCCCGAGACCTTCGCCAAGAACCGCGAGCTGGAGGTCATCCACGCTCGGTGGGCTCTTCTCGGCGCGCTCGGCTGTCTCACCCCCGAGCTCCTCGCCGGCAACGGCGTGAACTTCGGCGAGGCCGTGTGGTTCAAGGCCGGCGCTCAGATCTTCTCCGAGGGTGGCCTTGACTACCTCGGCAACCCCAGCCTCATCCACGCCCAGTCCATCCTCGCCATCTGGGCCACCCAGGTCATCCTGATGGGAGCCGTTGAGAGCTACCGCGTGGGTGGCCTCGAGGGCTTCCAAGAGGTTGAGGACCCGCTGTACCCCGGCGGTGCCTTCGACCCCCTCGGTCTGGCTGACGACCCCGACGCTCTCGCTGAGCTGAAGGTGAAGGAGTTGAAGAACGGCCGCCTCGCCATGGTGTCGATGTTCGGATTCTTTGTCCAGGCCATCGTCACCGGCAAGGGCCCCCTGGAGAACCTTTCCGACCACCTGGCTGACCCCACCGTGAACAACGCGTGGGCCTATGCCACCAACTTCACCCCCGGTGCTTAAACAAGTACCTCTTTCTGTACATTTTTTTCTATCCTATTATAAAATAGTTTTTTGTTACCATCCACTTTCAAAACAGAGTTTTATTGCTTCCGCTCAAGCCGCTCAAATCTGAATATCTACCCAAGCCGCTCAAATCTGAATACCGCCACAGACGTTTCTTCCACCAATACCTGGCTGGAACGGTTGAACGAATTGATGACAGAAGATATAAACAGAACCAACGTTCCACTACTCAAATTTATGTCAGCCAGAATGCGCAGGAAAATGAATAGGAAAGATGACCAGCGCTGTTAGTATTTTTTTGGAAGTTAGGCAACGAGGAAAAATGAGCTTCCTAACCATTCCGTCTGCACCTGCATCAGTTCGACTAGTTCATTGTTGAGTTAGTTGGCTGCTCGCAAGTGCTGTAACGATCAGCAACTACCCAACCCTTCCGTAAGCCTTAAAAACTTGTAATATGTGTTCAGGTGCCACTCTGACGATGTGCTTTCATGGCGACTGACAAGAATGCCGCGCCGTGACGTTAGGGCGTGTGTCCTTAGGCGAAAATTGCTGAAGTTCGAACTCCAACCGCTTTGAACCGCGATGAAACGTTTCTCGAATGTCTCTTACCGTGTAAAAATTCTGCAAAAGTTCGAACCTTAGCCAAAGTTCGACACCCTAGTACACACGCCCTTAGATGTTGAAGTTCAGGCTTCAATAATCGTGGGAAAACGATGCTGGCACATGAATGTGCCTCAGAAAACAATTGCACGATTGCTAGCGAAACCATTTTGGCTTCACGCCACATGTTTGCCAACAATTTGTTTCGCTAAGGTTGACAACAAACCGTCCGAAACCATTTTCGCTAAACGATTGTGCAGGGCTTCTTCCACTGACAACAAACCATCCGTGAAAAGCTCTCAGCAATCAGCCTCACCGCAACTAATACAGTACCACCACGCCCCATCCCAGCTTACCTCATCCCACCAGTCAGCTTGCCTCACCAGCACACTCGTCGCATGCACGACTCTGATGTAAACCGCACAAGCCTCGCAAACTGATTTCGTGAAGTTGCACTCGCACAGTGTTACCAGCAGAGAGATTCTGATCTGAAGTGCTGGAACTTCGCTAGGCGACACGCAATCTTCGTGTGGTCCACACACCACGTCAGATTGCACGCCACGTCACGGAAACCTGATTACCACATTTTTGAAAACATCGTGTTTCCGTGGCGGTCGCAACATCAGCGAATTCCACACCTTAATCGCACTACCGCTGCAAAACAAGTGAAACCACTCTGGTGCAACCACACCGACACCACACACAAAACACCATCAGATGGTAACCAGGGCCCTCGCCATTGGCTGAGCCCTGATTGTGTGGATTCTCGGTGTGGGGAAAACGAGATCCCCGAGCTTCGGAAACTTGGGAAAAACGCGGTTCGTACTCAAATGGCATCCAGTCAGAACGCTCCTAGGCACATCCGTAATTCCATCCAACCAGCTCTATCCACACGCAATTTTCATTCATAAATAATCAGAAACTCAGCAATCAGCAGAAGCAGAAGCTCGTTTCCACTTCCCTGAATTTCAGCTCTCAAACAGCTTCCCTTCCCAGCCCAGACATCCATCATGGCTGCCCTCGCGAACGCTGCCGTGCTCCCCTCCACCTTCGTCGGCCAGAGCGCTGAGCTCGCCGCCAAGGTCAACAATGTCGAGGCCCGCGTGACGATGAGGAAGACCGCCAAGGCGGCTTCCAGCAGCGCCTTCTACGGCCCCGACCGCAACCTGTTCCTGGGCCCCTTCAGCTCCCCCCCGTCTTACCTCACCGGCGAGTACGCTGGCGACTACGGCTGGGACACCGCCGGTCTGTCCGCTGACCCCGAGACCTTCGCCAAGAACCGCGAGCTTGAGGTAAGCTTACGGAAATTGCTATCAGCACATATGAGACCAACTTCTTACGAAAGAACATTCATTGCTCAACAAAACAAACAATTTCGAAATTTTCGCCGATCATTTAGCATCACTTACCAAATGTTCTGACCTTCGCTGCTTCAGAACGCTCGTTGTTTCAAGACTCTGACCGAATTCACTGTCATTTTCCTGCTTCTCAATCTTCAGGTTATCCACGCTCGCTGGGCTCTTCTCGGCGCGCTCGGCTGCCTCACCCCCGAGCTCCTCGCCGGCAACGGCGTGAACTTTGGCGAGGCCGTGTGGTTCAAGGCCGGCGCTCAGATCTTCTCCGAGGGTGGCCTTGACTACCTCGGCAACCCCAGCCTTATCCACGCCCAGTCCATCCTGGCCATCTGGGCCACCCAGGTCATCCTGATGGGTGCCGTTGAGAGCTACCGAGTGGGTGGCCTTGAGGGCTTCCAAGAGGTTGAGGACCCGCTGTACCCCGGCGGTGCCTTCGACCCCCTGGGTCTGGCTGACGACCCCGATGCTCTTGCCGAGCTGAAGGTGAAGGAGCTGAAGAACGGCCGCCTCGCCATGGTTTCGATGTTCGGCTTCTTCGTCCAGGCCATCGTGACCGGCAAGGGCCCCCTGGAGAACCTGAACGACCACCTGGCTGACCCCACCGTGAACAACGCGTGGGCCTATGCCACCAACTTCACCCCCGGTGCTTAAGTTTATCGTTATCACATAAAACCCTCTGTACATTATATTTCATAAACTTGAATCAAAATCTGCATTTTCATATTATATCCACACATCCTGTCTCTTGAAATGAACCTGAAAGACCACCTGTCTTGCTCGGCCTCACACCATGGTCTTGTTTATCGTAAGCTGGATAATTCTTGCTGGCCATATCGTAGCGTGGGTGCAGATTCCACAATCGTTTGAACAATGTGTTAGTAGGATTTGTCTATCTCGGCATCAATCTAAGTTCTTCTTGAAAACCTTGTTATGTCTGATCTTGCTGTGAAAGCTGATGAAAAAGTAAAGCTTCAGCTGGAAGGCGAAACATGTTCTGATATCTTCAACATAACATCCGTTTGCACTTCAGAAGAATGCCTCGATACTTGTCCACCTATTCCAGCATGTAGGATGTGGACTGAAGTTTGCCATTTTCTAGGTTTGACTGGTGGCGGCGGTAAGTGAACGAGGTGTTTCAATCTCACGCGCAAATTTGACCGGTGAAAACAGGGCGCAAGAGAATTGTGTGAGATTCATTTCAAAACAATGGGTTCTATACTGCGCGGAAGACTAGTCGCTAGTGCTTGCAGTATCGACAGCGTGTAAGAGAATCATGCTGATAAGCACATATACAGAAATAATTACAGGGTTCGTTAACAGAATTTAAATCATGGGGTGAAGATCTCGGCGTACACCCACGCGTTGTTGACAGTGGGGTCAGCCAGATGCTCAGAAAGGTTCTCAAGGGGACCCTTTCCAGTGATGATAGCCTGAACGAAGAACCCAGACATAGACACCATGGCGAGGCGGCCATTCTTTAACTCCTTCACCTTCAGCTCGGCAAGAGCATCGGGATCGTCGGCCAGACCAAGGGGGTCGAACGCACCGCCGGGGTACAGGGGGTCCTCAACCTCTTGGAAGCCCTCAAGGCCACCCACGCGGTAGCTCTCAACGGCACCCATCAGGATGACCTGGGTGGCCCAGATGGCCAGGATGGACTGGGCGTGGATCAGACTCGGGTTGCCGAGGTAGTCAAGGCCACCCTCCGAGAAGATCTGAGCGCCGGCCTTGAACCACACGGCCTCGCCGAAGTTAACGCCGTTGCCGGCGAGGAGCTCGGGGGTGAGGCAGCCGAGCGCACCGAGCATGGCCCACCGAGCGTGGATTACCTGAAGATAAAGACGAAACAAAGACGAACAGGAAGTGAGAATTCGCTCGCAATTAAAATCGCGGTACATTAAGAAAGCTGGTGATCTCAATCAGGTGTTATCATTCCTCTGAAAATGTTGTTCGAATGTAATGTTCGAGATTCGTCAGGCTTACCTCGAGCTCGCGGTTCTTGGCAAAGGTCTCGGGGTCAGCGGACAGACCGGCGGTGTCCCAGCCATAGTCGCCGGGGTACTCGCCGGTGAGGTACGACGGGGGGGAGCTGAAGGGGCCCAGGAACAGGTTGCGGTCGGGGCCGTAGAATGCGCTGCTGGAAGCCGCCTTGGCGGTCTTCCTCATGGTGACGCGGGCCTCAACATTGTTGACCTTGGCGGCGAGCTCAGCGCTCTGGCCGACGAAGGTGGAGGGGAGCACGGCAGCGTTGGCGAGAGCGGCCATGGTTTCTGAGCGGTGTCAAATTCGTTGGGAAGCAAGAAACGTGAAGAAATGCAGCTCAAAGAATTTGACTTTCTTGGAATGGAAAATGGCGCTGCTTTATGTATTTCGAGGGAGCTGTTGTGAGGGGAGCTGGAGTACTGAACTGAAACTTCGGTTGGGCGGAGAAGGGGGGGAAGGGGGAATGAAGGAGGGCAAAAGCGGATGGGGAGGGGAAGTCTGTCGACTGGAAGGAATGGACGTCGAGAGGAAGTGGAGTGGCGGAAATCGTTCCACTGCGCGCTGGGCACAGAGGTCCGAGATGTTTTTTCGGTAAGTGGTGTTTTGTAGGTGTTGAAGTTGTTCGGGGGCGATGTAAAGGCTTCATCAGTGGTGGAGAAAGCGCGCCAATGGGCGGGTAACTAGAGCGAGGTAATTCACGCCGCGAGTTCTATTTGGTTGCTTTGCTTGGTTGCGATTAGATGGATTCGTGTCCGTGGTTACCCGTTGTCGTCAGCGGGATTGATGTTCGAGTAAGTGACGGGCGAATGTGCTCGCGGCATCAGGAGGATTTCGGTTTCCAATCAGAATACACCGCCAGACGCATCCTTCCCAGTGAGTGGTCAAAATATGTCAACCTGAGATGTCGGTTCCATGGCCATCGTGTCACTGCGCTTGACCAGGGCGATGCCTATCTCCTATTGAAGCACGATGCGCTAACATTGTTTCCTCACATCTTATAGCAATCTTGTGGGTGTTCACTATTTATTCATCTTGAAGCTTCCAAAAGTATTTCAACACTCGTCCAAAGTGTCCCTAAAAAACATTCAAACAAAGTACCAACACACGTAGGACAGCTACTGCGTTCCATCAAATGATCTACGTATCGTGAGCAAATGTAATCGTACAAAACATGGAACATCTTGACCATAGCCTCCAATCTGAAAACATCACAATTTACACTGCGATGAGCTGCTTAGGATCCCCAACCCCAACCATCTGGACTCCCATTGCACATCTACCTTCCCCTGTGCATCTCAGTCGCCTCTAGCACCACTGCCCAATCCTCCATACTCCTCCCCACCTGTTGAAGTCGACTCAAAAGACATCCCCTCCGCGTTTACCTTTCACTGTCAAGCTGCCTTTCCTGCCCTTCCGTAATTGCACATCTACCTTTCCCTCTGCATCTGAGCGGCCTCTAATGCCACTGCCCACTCCTCCATGCTCCTCCCCTCCACTGTCACCCACGGGATGATCCCAAGGGCCGGCTGCTTCCACCAATGGGAGACCTGCATGTTTGGAACGACAGGGGTGCGGGTGCAGGGAAGTCATTGTGTGTTTCATAGGCACACGGGATGATCCCAAGGGCCGGCTGCTTCCACCAATGGGAGACCTGCACAATCGAAACGAAGTGTCGCACAACTGGCCGAGTTGTGTGTTTCTTGAGCACACGGGATGATCCCAAGTGCCGGTTGCTTCCACCAACGGACTACTTTGACTGCTCCTGTAGCTGCGCCAGCTGAGGCAGCCATTACAACTGCACCAACTCCACATGTGCAGCACTAACAGGTTTAAGGCACATCAACCAGGTGAAACAACTCACAGCAACCAGGTGAAACGACTCACAGCAAGCAGGTGAAACGACTCACAGCAAGCAGGTGAAACGACTCACAGCAAGCAGGTGAAACGACTCACAGCAAGCAAGCGAATGGACTCACCAGGTCAGAGGCCTCCTGAGTGCGTGCCACGAGCTGCCTTGACTGCCCCTGCAGCTGTGCCAGCTGTGGCAGCCACTCCGATAGCACCTGCCTTTCCACATGCTTTCAAGTGTGACCCAGACACAGCAAACAGTTGGATGGACTCACCAGGTCAGAGGCGTTCTGAGTGCGTGCCACGAGCTGCCTTGACTGCCCTTGCAGCTGTGCCAGCTGTGGCAGCCACTCCGATAGCACCTCCATGTGCTGCTGCTCCGCCTGCTGCTGCAATCCAGAGAGTTGCCTGGATGAACCAAGGGGGTGTGGGATAGGAAGGAAGGGGGGAGTGAGGGGTGAGGGGAAAGGGATAGCCGTGGCAGCCACTCCGATAGCACCTCCACGTGCTGCTGCTCCGCCTGCTGCTGCACGCCAGAGAGTTGCCTGGATGGAGGGTCGGGGAATGGGAAAAAGGAGAAAAGAGGGAGAGAGCAGCAAGGTCAGGCAGCCAGTCTGCTCGCACCTCCATATGCTGCTGCTCCGCTCCGCCTGCTGCTACAAGCCACATGAATCCATGCACACACGCGTGTATCCACATGCATGCATCTGCACCCACCAATCACACCTTCCCACCGTTATGCACCACTCTGACATCCCACCAGCCCCATGCACCAAACCAGCTTACCGTGCCATGCTGGCGACAGCTGGCTCCAGCTCAGCAGCACTGCCAGCTGCCACGTCAGCAGCTGCTGACATGGCATCCACAAACTGAGCCACTGCCTGGAGATCCGTGCTCAGAGACACTGCTGACGTCACACCCCTCCCTCCCCCTCCTCCTCCTCCTCCTCCTCCTCCACCTCCCCCCTCTAGGCCACTTCTTCTGCCCTCCTCCCTCACTCCTCTGCTCTCCCTCTCCCTCTCCCTCTCCCCCCCATCCCTCCCCCTCCCCACACTCCCCCCCCCAGTGCACCCCCAAGCATGGGCAGCCAACTCACTCCCTGTCTCCTCATCTATCCTGCCACCTGTCGCCGCGTCATTGGCTTCCCAAGCTGCCCGGAGAACCCGGGCAGCCTCAGCAGCCAATGGGAGAATCGGATCGTTATCAGACGAACGTGTAGGTGCATTGGAGGAGGAGGGAAGGGAAGAGGAGGGGAGTCGTGGGAGAGGGAGAGGGGAGGGGGAGAACGCGAGAGAGTGAATGAGAGAGGAGAAGAGGGGCCAGGGTACCGAGTCAGCAGCCATAGCTGTGGCAGAAGCAGCAGCAGAGGAAGAAGAAGCGGATGAGTGTTCCTGCCCCTGTCCCTGTTCGTACCCCAGCCCCTCCCCCCCTCCCTCCACAGCCGCCGATGGAAAGCTAAAGCTGCTTCGTGCCTGCGCCTGTGCCTCCCTCTCAGAGGACAATGGGTTTTGAGACGCCTGAGACGCCTGAGACGTCTCACTACGCAACGGAAAGCTACAGGAGACCGGGCGGCACAGCCAGGAGGGCGGCAGTGCCGCGCCAGCTGTCACCTCGTGAACGGCCAGGTCCCGTGCCGCCCGGACCGAGCCAATCAGAGCGCTTCCAGCCTTTGCCACGTGTCCTGCCAGGGCCTTTTGAGTCGCCCCATTGGTGAGGTTCCACCACATGTGGGCATAGGCCTGATGGGAGGGGGGGGTGCAGAGTCCACAAGGTGCAGATAGGTTCGAATGGGTTTAAACACGTTGTGCACACTTGAGGCTGTCCCCCCATTGGTGAGGTTCCACCACATGTGGGCATAGGCCTTCCGGGAGGGGGGGGGTGTGGGGGAGTTTTGAAGGGTGCAGAAAACGCGAGGTACAGATGGGTTTGGAGGGGTTAGATACATCGTGCACTCCAGATGCAGCCTCTCCATTGGTGATATTCCACCACATGTGGGCGTAGGCCTGACTGGGGGTTGGCAGAGGAAGAGAGATGAGTGTAGGTTTGTTTTCCTCTCCTGATTCGGCCAATAACCCCCCACAGCTAAGCACAAACTGCCACCTCACAATTGCAAGTCTAAAAGATTGCCATATATTCTGGCATGCGGATTTTCAAAAGCTCCATTGCCCACACATCGTGATATTGGTGCGACTTTTGAGAATCCTCAAAAGATCTTCCAAAAGCTCCATTGCCCACACAACGTGATATGGTATTCCCAGACAGAAGCAAGGGAAAACGACATGGCACACCTGGTTTATCCTCCTTATAAGCTCGTACTCCGCCCACTTATTGCTGCGCTCGTCGTTGAACCCTTTAATTCGCTCCCACTGCTGCAGCACCCTGCGATTCGTGGCGCCTGCTGCTGCCACCTCACTGGGATAAGAGGGGAGGGAGTGGCGATAAAAGAACCCCTTTTGAGAAATCTCACAAGGGAGGGCATGCGTTTGGTACACAACACATTCGAAGCAGCCTGCGATTCGTGGCGCCTGCTGCTGCCACCTCACTGCAAGTCAGCACGGACGGAGGGAGGGAGTATGATGGGAGAATAAATGCGGGCGGAGTTATGGAGAGAAGGAAAGGGACGATTGTATCATCAAACGATAAATTTGTGGCAGCACTATCCGGTTCGTGGCTCCTGCTGTTTCCACCTCACTGCGAGTCAGCACGAACAGAGGGACCAGAAAAGGGGCGATTGTATCGTCAACCGATAGACTTGCTGCAGCAGCCTGAATGTGGCCGAGGCAACAGATCTCACTACTACTACTATCTCCACCTCTTCTAGTCTACCCACCCCAACAGTCGCTACTCTACTGCCTGCAGCACTCGCAGCTCTGCCTCTGCCACAGCTATCCCCAACTCCACATCTTCCAGCCTCTCACCTTCACACTTCACAATATGCAATATGCCAATATCCCACCTTGACAGGCGTTTCACCGCTGCCTGCAGCACTCGCAGCTCTGCCTCCGCCACAGCTATCCCCAACTCAAGCTCGCATATGCGTGTTGACGTGCTTTGCATGCGTGAGTGAGACCTCTCACCTCCACAATCGCTTCTCTGCTGCCTGCACCACCCTCAGTTCTGCCTCTCCAACAACTATCCCCAACTCCACATCTTCCAGTCTCCCACCTCCAAAGCCGCTTCCACAAAAGCACGTGAATTGCATGCGCGAGGGAGCTCTCTCACCCCAACAGTCGTTTCTCCACTGCTTGAAGCACCCGCAGTTCTGCCTCCGCCACAGCTATCCCCAACACCACATCTTCCCAGCCTCTCACCTCTCCACACTCTCACCCACCCACCTTCATAGTATGCAATATGCCAATACCCCACCTCGACAGGCGTTTCTCCGCTGCTTGAAGCACTCTCAACTCTGCCTCTGCCACAGCTATCCCCAACTCCACATCCTCAAACCTCCCATTCACCCACCTTCACAGTATGCAATCCCCCACCTTGAGAGTCGCTTCTCTGCTGCCTGCAGCACCCTCAACTCTGCCTCCGCCATAGCTATCCCCAACTCCACATCCTCCTCATCACCCTCTCCCTCCTCCCCTCCCCCCTCCTCTCCCTTCTCTTCTCCCTCCTCCCCTCCCTCCTCCCCCCTCTCCCCTGCCCCCTCTCTTCGTCCTTTCCCATCCCCAAGCCGGCTTGCTCCACCAGCGGACTTCCGTTCCACCGCCAGCCTCACTGCCTCGGCTCTCTTACTCAGCACCTGCGTCTGCAGGCACAGGTCGCGGTACTCCTTCTGGCAGAGGGAGACGGAAGGAGTGAGAAAGGAGGAAGTGGGAGTGGGAATGAGAGAGTGGGTGAGAGGAAGAGGGAGTGGGAGAGCCTTCTGCTTGCCTTTTTTTTTTACCCTTGTAGCCTCGGCTCTCCTTCTCAGCACTTGCGTCTGCAGGCACAGGTCGCAGTACTCCTTCTGGCAGAGGGAGTGAAAGAGAGGGAGAAAGGGAGGGACGGGGAGGGAGAACGGGGTCCCGTGTGTTCCTTCTCAGTAGTTGCGTCTGCAGGCACAGGTCGTGGTACTCCTTCTGGCAGAGGGAATCGGGGGGAGTGAGAGAGGGAGAGAGTGGGCCTCCTTGCTTTATCAGTGATCCTCCTTCCCACCCCCAGCCTCACTGCCTTGGCTCTCGTTTGGAGCACCTGCGATGCAGGCATAGGTCGCAATACTCCTTCTGGCAGAGGGACATGGAGAGAGGGGGGGGGAAGCGGAGGGAGTGGGCCTGCTTGCTTGATCACTAGTCCTCCTTTCCACCTCCAGCCTCACAGCCTCGGCTCTCTTGCTCAGCACCTGCGATGCAGGCACAGGTCGCAATACTCCTTCTGGCAGAGGGACATGGAGAGAGAGGGGGGGAAGCGGAGGGAGTGGGCCTGCTTGCTTGATCACTAGTCCTCCTTTCCACCTCCAGCCTCACTGAATTGGCTCTCCTCCTCAGCACTTGCGTCTGAAGGCACAGGTCGCGGTACTCCTTCTGGCAGAGGAAGGGGTCGAAGAGAGGGATGATAATGAGAGGATGTGTGTATGAGGGATGTTGGATAAGGAAATCAGGGATAGATGAAACTCCCAGCTATTGATAAGAACCAGCCGCCTCGCCAGAACCAGCTCCTGCGTTGACTGTGACGCCTTGCGCTGCTGACTCGCCCCAGCCCTTGCTCCTCGCCCTGTGTACACATCGAGAGGTGCACTTCCTTCTCACTCTCACCTGCCTCGCCAGAACCAGCTCCTGCGTTGACTGTGACGCCTTGCGCTGCTGACTCGGCGCAGCAGCTGTGGGATCCGCCGAGACATGCACTTTCCTCCCACAAGTCAATCTCACCTGCCTTGCCAGCACCAGCTCCTGTGTTGACTGTGGCGCCTGGCGCTGCTGATTCACCACAGCTCTTGCTCCTCTCCCTGTGTATATGTCGGGAGGGAGGTTCACTTCTTTCTCACTCTCACCTGCCTCGCCAGCACCAGCTCCTGCGTTGACTGTGGCGGCCGGCGCTGCTGATTCGTCCCACCCCTTACTCCTCGCCCTGTGCTCCCACCAGCCCCAGCAGCAGCAGCAGTAGCAGCGCCAGCACCACCGTCAGCAGGCGTAAACGATGCATGCTTTGCTGCCTTGCGCAAAAGATTCCTTGACGTGCCACCACCAATGCCGCTGCCGCTGCCGCCGCTGCCGCTGAGGCTGTCACTGCCACCAGTCATCCCTTCCGTTCGTCCCCCACTCGCACTGAGAGGGGCGCGGGTTAGGGTGGCGAGTCTGGTGATAGGCAAGAGACAGGGAGGAAGGGAGCGACGTTAGGAACACGACTGCTGTTGACGGCACTGTCAACAATCACCCCCTCTGTTCCTCCCCCAGTCGACTTTTGAGGCGCCTCAAAACACGACTGCTGTCAACGGCACTGCCAACAATCACCCCCTCTGTTCCTCCCCCAGTCGTACTGAGAGGTGCCTAGGCTGACATAACCACTTTGATGATAAGCAAGGGAAAGGAGAGGAAAAGAGAGAGATTGGGAATATGAGTGCTGTTGTCACTTGCACCCTATTGCTCAAGAGTGCACCGTTCCCCCTCCCCTCCATTCTCTTCACAACAATCTGCACCACACTGCTCTACAGCACACCGCTCTGCACCACACTGCTCTGCACCACACCGCTCTGCACCACACCACTCTGCACCACAACGCTGTGCACCACACCACTCCCCACAGCACTCTGCAAAACCACCTTCCTCCCCTGAACCCCAAACCTTCCTTTCCACACACAAACAGACTCTCCCTCACTTACCCTAGTCTTGGGCCCTCCTCCTCCACATCTGTCCCCACACACTCCCTCCTTATCTCCTCCGCCTTCCTCCCCACAGCACCCTGCAGCACCGCCACCAACCCGTCTGGTTGAATCCCAAACCTTCCACACAAACAGACTCTCTTCCACTAACCCCAGCTTCGTTCCTTCCTCCTCCAAATCAGTCCCCGCACACTCTCTCCGAAACTCCTCCGCCTTCCTCCCCACACAACTCTGAAACAGCGCCCACCAATCTCCCCTCAACCCCAACCCCAAATCTTCCAAACACAAACCGACTCTTCCCACTTACCCCACTTTTGTGCCTTCCTCCTCCGAATCAGTCCTCGCACACTCCCTCCTTATCCTCCGCCTTCCTCCCCACAGCACGCTGCAACCTATCCACCCCACCTTGTGCCAGCCGTCCCCACTTACCCCAGTCTTGTGCCCTCCTCCTCCACATCGGTCCCCACTTACCCCAGTCTTGTGCCCTCCTCCTCCACATCGGTCCCCACTTACCCCAGTCTTGTGCCCTCCTCCTCCACATCGGTCCCCACTTACCCCAGTCTTGTGCCCTCCTCCTCCACATCGGTCCCCACTTACCCCAGTCTTGAGCCCTCCTCCTCCGAATCAGTCCCAACACACTCCCTCCTTATCTCCTCCGCCTTCCTTTCCACAGCACCCTGCAGCACCGCCACCAACCCCTCCGGGTGTAGCCTCGCGCGTTCCAGAAAGCTTCCCACAGGCAGCTCGCTCCATTCTATGGGTGCCAGATCAGCCAGGCCTCCCGGGAAAGATAGGAGAACAGCAGGACTCGTGGGGGCAGCGGGAGCAGCAGAAGCAGCTGCCCTGCTGCTGCCTGCTGCTGCCTCTGTAGCGCTAGCAGCAGCTGCAGTACCAGCAGAAAGAGGGGGAGGGGGAGGAGCATTAGCCGAAGCTGTATTGCGGTGAGCTGTGGATTGATGTATGCCTGTGGGCAGTGTGTGGTTTACTGCTGCAAGGGAGAAAATGCCACTGGTGGTAGCAGCAGCACCAGCAGCTGCACCAGCAGCAGCGGCAGGGGAGTGAATGGCATCGGACAGCCGGGCCTGCAGAAACCTCTGCAGGAGAGAAAGAGCATCATCCGTCTCAGCAGCAGTGGGGGGAGAAGCTGCAGGCTCCGCTGCTGCTGCTGCTTCTGCAGTTCCTGCTACTGTTGCTGCTGCTGTCGTTGCTGCCGGTCCTGCTGCTGCTGCTGTTCCCGATCCTCGTGTGAACGTAGCAGAAGCTGCAAGGGCGGAGGAAATGCGTGCCTTGCAGTCACGCAGGCCGCGGTTCCCAGCCCCCAGGTATGCTCCGAAGCCGCTGACTTGCAGCCAATGAGCGTGAAGCACCGCTGCCCTCGCCCTGCCAGTTGTATGGGGTTACAGTATTACACATGAGCAGAAATTGTGAGCCTTGCAGTCACATAAACCGGACGGTTCCCAACCTCCAGGTATGCTCGGAAGCCGTTGACTTGCAGGGAATGAGCGTGAAGCACCGCCGGCCTCGCCCTGCCACGCCACGTGTGTTACAGAGATGAAGTCTTACAAAATTAGAGAATTGATGCGTGCCTTGCAGTCACGCAGGCCGCGGTTTCCAGCCCCCAGGTACGCTCGGAAGCCGTTGACTTGCAGGGAATGCGCGCAAAGCACCGCCACCCTCGCCCTGGTAGGGGAGTCAAGGGAAGTTACCAAGTTACACAGTACAGTACACAGAACAGGAACATGAAAGCCTTGCACAAAGTTACACAATAATGGCGGCTCCCAGCCTCCAGGTATGCTCGAAAAGCCGTTGAATTGCAGCGAATGAGCGTGAAGCACCGCTGCCCTCGGCCTACCACGTGTGTTAGAGAGACAAAACACATTACACAACAGTGGAAGGTGTAAAGGAAGACAAAGTGAGTTTTTTTTGTGATTTGCTGCCTTTGATCCTTGCAGGCACACAGGCTCCGGTTCCCAGCCTCCAGGTACGCTCGAAAGCCGTTCACTTGCAGCGAATGAGCCTGAAGCACGGTTGCCCTCGCTGCCCTGCCATTACGGAGTTACAGAGTTACAAATTCAGAGAATATATGTATGTGATCCTTGCAGTCACACTGGCTGTGGTTCCCAGACTCTAGGTACGCTCGGAAGCCGTTCACTTGCAGCGAATGAGCCTGAAGCACTGCAGCAGCTCCTGCCCTGCCAGGGGAGTCAGGGGAAGTTACTAAGTTACAAAGTACAGTACACAAAATTTGTGAGCCTTGCACAAGGTTACACACAAGCCGCGGATCTGTGTGCTCTGCGCAGTTCGCGCAGCGACACCACCGCCTGCTGCTCCCTTTGTCGTTAAGTTTCATTCTCTACCAGCAACCTCACCTTATCGCCGAAGTCTGCTTCTCATCTGCGTGCTCTGCGCGAATAGGAACTCCACATCGCGCGCTTTAGTATGCACCGATCGCTCCAGAGGCACTCCCACACCCTGCTGCAGTCTTTGTCGCAGTGCTCCTTACACTCCCACTAACCTCACCTTATCGCTGAGGCCTCCTCGTCCATCTGCGTGCTCTGCGCGGATAGGGACTCCACATCGCGCGCTTTAGAATGCACCGATCGTTCCAGCGACACCACCGCCTGCTGTGCTGTCTTTTCCCGCAGTGATTCATCCCCTCCCAGAAACCTCACCTTATCGCTGAGGCCTGCTCGTCCATCTGCGTGCTCTGCGCGGATAGGGACTCCACATCGCGCGCTTTAGCATGCACCGATCGCTCCAGCGACACCACCGCCTGCTGCTCTCGCTGCAGCCGCTCCGCCGCCTGCGCCTTCCGCTCGCGCGCATCACTCTCCCGCTCCTCCTGCGCCCGCTCCTGCTCTCGCCGCTCGCACAGTTCCCGCTCCGCCGCCTGCTCCGCGGTCTCCGCGGGTTGCCGTTCCCCCGATCCTGCATCTCCGCCAGCAGTTGCGCGACCGGATCCGCTCCCCCTGGATCCAACCCCGCGTTGCGCCTGCGGGGGAACAGATCCGCGCGGATACGCACCGCGGAAAGGCTGGGATGCGGCTGTGTAGGTTTGCCTACGAATTCTCGGATCCGCCATTTTACAGGCTAAGACTGAAAAGCTAATGCAGATCTAGTAGTCTTGCATCATACAGCGCGAAGACGGCGGAAAAGACGGAAAAGTTCAGGATTCGTTCACCGCGTGTAACCCTCAGATCAAGCTCCTCAGGTATGTACCGCACTAAGTTGCCTGAGTTCTTTCGCGTTGCAGAGTGCTTGTCAAATGTTCTATTATGGTTTTTAGAGTCACAGAAATTCTTTTGACTAGTCCTGAGGCGAAGGGAGCGGGAGAGCATGGGAGGCGGAGCTTGACATGAGGGTGTGGGGCTTACGAACAAGAACGATTAATCGCTCTGGAAAGCGAAGCCGCACAACTTCGCATTTTCTGCGGCGCGGCATTTTCAAGGGCCAATCATAGGAGCTTGTTTTAGCGGGAACCCAGTTCAGTGAATGCAGCTTGTAACCGGATAACCAGGCCACCCTAGGGAAGTTCGCGAGGCTGATTGTGGTTTGCAAAATCAGAGCCGTTTACTCGGTTATGTAAGGTGCGTGCTGTTCTAAACCGGTTGGAAGTCAAATTCACGTGAGATGCTATGGAGGAAAAGGCAGTCACGTTTCAGCAGCAGGCAAACTTGGCCTCCTAAATACAAGAGGGTTCTAAAGCGGGACAAGGAATTGCGCTGAGCCTTGTTTATCCTAGATAAGTACATCAAAAACAAGTATATCCTACGGTCAGGTCCTTGTACTCGAGCATGGTAGCACATGGTATTGCAAACGGCGGCGCGTTTTCGCTTGAAGCTTTAGCTGACTGAAGGGTAGCGTAAAGGCGACGTCGTACGACAGATGCGCTTCGAAGCTAGACTCGTCCCGCGCCGCGTCCTCCTGTCGATCCGGGGAGCAATCGAACCGTCGCCGCTCGTCGCGTCGTCGCATGCTCCTCCCGCCGTTCCGATTGCGACTATCCTGCGACCTTCTTCCTCGCACCCCTCATTTCCAAACATGTCTTCTCGCGCACCTACATTCCGACCATTACAATCACTTCTTCCACGCGGTCCACAACCCCCGCTACTATCACCTTCGATAAAGGTTAATCTTACTCTTTGCAAGAACGTCACCTCGTTAGGAGCCGTGGCGCAGGCTGTGTGTGACGAGGTGAGACTCTGTCTAACACACACCAACAAACCAAGTGGAAGCTTCATCATCCCCCTCTATCTGCACCGTACTGCACCCCTCCCTACAGATTAGCATCCCTCTGCACATAGTGCATCTCACCGACGCCTACTGGCAGCGAGTGGTGGCGCACTGTTGTGGGGGAGATCCGCAGCGGCCGCACTCCACCCATCTCCCTATCATGTTACGCTCCCTCCCTCTGCACCGCACTGCACCCCTCCCTGCAGATCAACATCCCGCTGTACATAGTGCATCTCACAGACGCCTACTGGCAGCGAGTGGTGGCGCACTGTTGTGGGGGAGATCCGCAGCGGCCGCACTCCACCCATCTCCCTATCATGTTACGCTCCCTCCCTCTGCACCGCACTGCACCCCTCCCTACAGATCAACATCCCACTGCACATAGTGCATCTCACAGACGCCTACTGGCAGCGAGTGGTGGCTCACTGTGTAGGGGAGATCCGCAGCGGCCGCACCCCTAACCCTGACATGCTCTGCAACTCGCGCATCAAGTTTGGTACATCCTAACAGCATCCGTTTTGAAACAACTCAAATGTTCTGTGTTTGGTTTGGATGTCTTTTTAAGTCGACTCAAAACCCAACCCCGACATGCTCTGCAACTCGTGTATCAAGTTTGGTAACATCCGAAAACAAGACATTTCATCTTCTCGGATGGATTTAAAGCCGACGTTGTTGTGTTGTATGTGAAAAGGTAAGAGTACCAGTTATGTAACAAGACTTTGTATGCCCTTGCTTACTACTCTGCACCTTCCCTCTCTGCCCTCTGCACCCCTCCAGGTGCCTTCTACGATCATCTAGACTTCACTCACTTTGACCGCGTGGCATCGGGGCACTATGCCCGTGTTGCCCGCTCACCAGCTGACCCTTCTGCTGCTGTGCGCCTGGTCCTATCAGCAGATGAGGTGAGTCCTGAGGCGCCTCAAGAGCACTTCACTCACTTTGACCGCGTGGCGTCGGGGCATTACGCCCGTGTTGTCCGCTGACCACCAGCCGACCCGTCTCATCCTGGCAAGTCTGCTGCCGTGCGCCTGGTGTTGTCGGCAGATGAGGTGAGATATGATCTGAGGCGCCTCAAAACACTTCACCCACTTCGACCGCGTGGCATCGGGGCACTATGCCCGTGTTGTCCGCTCACCACCGGCCGACCCGTCTCAACCTGGCGAGAGTCCTGTGCGCCTGGTGTTGTCTGCGGATGAGGTGAGTTCTGAGGCGCCGCAAAACACTTCACACATTTGACTGCGTGGCATCGGGGCACTATGCCCGTGTTGTCCGCTCACCACCGGCCGACCCGTCTGCATCTGTGCGCCTGGTCGTATCACCAGATGAGGTGAGGTGAGCATGTCAGCCGGTCGAGACGACTCAACATACCAGGTGTCACAAGTGGGCTGTTGGGTCGTCTCTCAACTCCCTCTCCACCAGCTGCCTTGTCCCACCGCTCCCACATAACTGCTCTGATAAGGTGAGCATGTCAGGTGCCTAGGTAACATTACTGGTGACGCCGCATCTGCCCAGGTGAAGCTACTTCTGCGGACACCACACGCTGCAGACTTCTGAAAACTAGTGAACTTATCAACCCTTGGCTAAGTCTCTCTCGCCCTGTCTCCTCCTCTTGTTCTGTTTCCACTCCCTTATTCCTGTTTTCCTACCCCACGCCAGGTGAAGGATCAGACCTACTTCCTCTCGCACCTATCGCAGCAGCAGTTGTCTCGAGTCATGTTCCCCCTTGGCGCCCTCACCAAGGTACGAGGATGCACTTCCCTCCTGCACTCCTCTCGTGCACTCCTCCTATCGCAGCAGCAGTTGTCTCGGGTCATGTTCCCCCTTGGCGCCCTCACCAAGGTACGCTCCGCTCAACCTGCCACATGCCACGTGTCACCCTGTCAACCCGCCCCATGCCACGTGTCACCCTGTCAACCCGCCCCATGCCACGTGTCACCCTTTCAACCCGCCCCATGCCACGCGTCACCCACGCCTTCCCATGTGCAGTCCCAGGTGCGACAGCTGGCAGCGGCGTTCAACCTGCCCAACCAGAGCAGGAAGGACTCCCAGGGGATCTGCTTCCTGGGGAAGGTACGATGTGGGGAAGGTACGATGTGGGTGGGGAAGGTACGATGTGGGGAAGGTACGATGTGGGGAAGGTACGATGTGGGGAAGGTACGATGTGGGTGGGGAAGGTACGATGTGGGGAAGGTACGATGTGGGGAAGGTACGATGTGGGGAAGGTACGATGTGGGGAAGGTACGATGTGGGGAAGGTACGATGTGGGGAAGGTACGATGTGGGGAAGGTACGATGTGGGGAAGGTACGATGTGGGGAAGGTGCGCTGTGGGGAAGGTGCGATGTGGGGAAGGTACGATCTGGGGAAGGTGGGATGTGGGGAAGTTGCGATGTGGGGAAGGTACGATGTGGGGAAGGTACGATGTGGGGAAGGTACGATGTGGGGAAGGTACGATGTGGGGAAGGTACGATGTGGGGAAGGTACGATGTGGGGAAGGTACGATGTGGGGAAGGTACGATGTGGGTGGGGAAGGTACGATGTGGGGAAGGTACGATGTGGGTGGGGAAGGTACGATATGGGTGGGGAAGGTACGATGTGGGGAAGGTACGATGTGGGGAAGGTACGATGTGGGGAAGGTACGATGTGGGGAAGGTACAACAATGTGGGTGGGGAAGGTACGATGTGGGGAAGGTACGATGTGGGGAAGGTACGATGTGGGGAAGGTACGATGTGGGGAAGGTACGATGTGGGTGGGGAAGGTACGATATGGGTGGGGAAGGTACGATGTGGGGAAGGTACGATGTGGGGAAGGTACGATGTGGGGAAGGTACGATGTGGGGAAGGTACGATGTGGGGAAGGTGCGCTGTGGGGAAGGTGCGATGTGGAAACGGTACGATCTGGGGAAGGTACGATGTGGGGAAGGTGCGATGTGGGGAAGAAAGGTGCGATGTGGGGAGGGAAGGTGCGATGTGGGGAAGGTACGATGTGGGGAAGCGATGTGGGGAAGGAAGGTACGATGTGGGGAAGGTGCGATGTGGGGAAGGAAGGTACGATGTGGGGAAGGTGCGATGTGGGAAAGGGCTCTCATATCTTTTACCTGGCTGCACACACATGCCACTTCACTCTTGTGTCTGTCTTGTGGCCTTTTCTACCATTTTAAATCTCTTTCACCAGGTGAAATTCCCAGAGTTTGTGACACGGCACGTGGGCGAGCAAGAAGGGCTGCTGGTGCGACTTGAATAGAGTTTTCTCTGCATCTAATTGCCCACACGCCTTTCTTCTCTTGTAACTCTCATGTGCCTCTGTGCACAGGTGAAGTTTCCGGAGTTTGTGGCACAGCATGTGGGCGAACAGGAGGGGAGGGGCTGTTGGTGAAGGCAGAGGGTGGTGAGGCGAACTGAACAGCGCACAGTTGTTCCAATCACACACACACTGTTCTGCTCTTGTATCTGCCTTGTACCTACATTGTATCTCAGGTTAAGTTCCCTGAGTTTGTGGCACGGCATGTGGACGAGCAGGAGGGGTTGCTGGTGGAGGCAGAGAGTGGGGAGGTGATCTGCATAGCACCCACTTTCTCTCATATATTCTGCCCACACCACTGCGCTCTTGTATCTGTCTTGTGCCTGCTTTGTATATCAGGTGAAGTTCCCAGAGTTCGTGGCGCGGCATGTGGGCGAGCAGGAGGGGCTGCTGGTGGAGGCAGAGAGTGGGGAGGCCCTGGGCGTGCACAGAGGCTTCTGGTTCTTCACCATCGGGCAGCGGCAAGGCATCAAACTCTCTGGCGGGCCGTGGTGAGAAAATCAGATAGACCAAGACGCAGTGAGCAAGTGAGAGTGAGGGTTGATGGTGCTTGTGCTCTATGCACATACAGTGGGGAGGCCCTGGGCGTGCACAGGGGCTTCTGGTTCTTCACCATCGAGCAGCGACAAGGCATCAAGCTGTCTGGCGGGCCATGGTGAGTGATGGAATGGTGAGACGGGTGGTGAGAGGGAGAAAGCATCCAGGCAACAGCAGCTTGTAGGGCCCTGGGCGTGCACAGGGGCTTCTGGTTCTTCACCATCGGGCAGCGGCAAGGCATCAAGCTGTCTGGCGGGCCGTGGTGAGTAAGGGAGAGCAAGTGTTGACATATGTTGTTTGTGATTTAACCTAACCACACAGAGAGCGGGGAGGCCCTGGGCGTGCACAGGGGCTTCTGGTTCTTCACCATCGGGCAGCGACAGGGCATCAAGCTGTCTGGCGGGCCGTGGTGAGTGAGGGAGGATGAGGGTTGATGGTTTTTGTGCTCTAAGCACAAATAGCGGGGAGGTTTTGGGGGCGCTCAGAGGCTTCTGGTTCTTCACGATCGGGTAGAGAGAGGACATCAGGCTGTCTGGGGGGCCGTGGTGAGTGAGGACTGCTGCTGCTGTGTGTGTGTGTGTGTGTGTGTGTTTCTTTTATTCATTCATTCTCCTCATACACACTCGCACATAGTGGGGAGGCCCTGGGAAGCTCAGGGGCTTCTGCTTCTTCACGATCTGGTGGGCCGTGGTGAGCACGGGAGAGCAAGGATGGGTGGTTTCAGGCAAGCAAGGTGAAGCCCCAACCATTAGATAATCGAGGTGAGGCCCTGGGTGAGGCCTTGACCATTAGTCTCCCAAGTGGCCAAGGACGCGGCCACCAACACGGTCTTTGTATCTCGCGCAATTACCATTCTCGGTTGGTCACACCTGTTCTCTGGTCCATTACCTGACTCGCCTCCCTCATCCTCTCACCAGGTACGTGGTGGCTAAAGACACGGCCACCAACACGGTCTTTGTCTCGTGCGACTATCACTCTCAATTGGTCACACTTTCTTCGTTGCCCATTATCCCGCACTCTCTCCCCTCTTTGTCCCCGTTCCCCCTCCTCACCAGGTTCGTGGCAGCCAAGGCCACAGCCATCAACATGGTCTTTGTTTCCCGCGACTACCACTCTCATTGGCCACTCACAGCTGTTGCGTTATCCCTTCCCCCACCCCACCCTCCCCCCCCTCTCACCAGGTACGTGGTTGCTAAAGACACGGCCACCAACACGGTCTTCGTCTCACGAGACTATCACTCTTCAGCCAAGTCCCGCTGGCGGTTCTGGGTGGGCGGGTTCAGCTGGACTCAAGGTGGCGAGTGCAGCCCTCCTTTGACTGAACGACCAAATCTGACGTGCAAGGTGAGACCCTTTGCGACTCTTGGGAAGCACACCAAGTGGAATCCGCGGGTCTAAGGAGCAGTTCTGGGTGGGCGGGTTCAGCTGGACGCAGGGAGGGGAGTGCAGCCCTCCTTTGACTGAACGACCCAACCACACATGCAAGGTGAGACCCGTTGGAAGGCCACCAACCAAGCGCCCTCTCTTCCCCTTCTCTTTCCCCTCTCTTCCCTCTCTTTCCCGCCACTCTCCCCCCTCACTTCCCCTACACTTCCTGCTCTTTCCCCCCTCTCTGCGAGTCCGCCACGGCCCCCACTTCTACCCCTGCTCCGTGCAGTTTGTGCTTCAATGCACACCCACTCACACGCTCACACCATCTCTTGCCCCTCTATTCCCCCTCTCTCCCCCCTCTCTCCCCCCTCTATCCCATCTCTCTGCAGGTCCGCCACGGCCCCCACTTCTACCCCTGCTCTGTGCAGTTTGCTGAGCTGCCAGCATCCATGCGTCCAGATGCACTGAACCATCCGCCAGCAGAAACAGGTTTAGCACTAGAGGAGGCAGCAGCGGAAGAGGCAGCAGCAGCAGGAGAGGCAGTAGCAGCAGCAACAGGAGCAGCAGCAGCAGCAGCAGCAGCAGCAGCAGCAGCAGGAGCAACAGCAGAAGCAGGAGAGGCATCACCATTACGAGGGGCATCAGCAGCAGGAGAGGCAGCAGCAGTGGCAGGGCTGGTGACTCTATCCCAGGACGACCAAGGCCTGGCTGCCGGCCAGTTTGCTGCCTTCTATGATGGTGACACGTGCCTCGGGTCCGGCGTCATCATTGGCGTGCCGCCCGGGGACGACACAGTGGGTGGCAAAAGTGGCAGCAGCAGCAACAGCAGCAGCAGCACAGAGCTGCACCTGCAGTCGGGCCAACAGGAAGTAGGTTCTGAGACTGGGCAGAAGCAGGAGAAGAGGAAGGGGCCGGTGTCAGCTGCAGCGTGGGAGACTGCAAGGCGAGGGCTGGCAGGGGTGAGGATTGGGAAGCTAAAACCACCCAAGACTCTGGAGAAAGGGGGTGGGAAGGTTGGGAATGAGGGATTCAGGGAGGAGGGGAGGGAGAAGGAAAAGGGGGAGGGGGGACATGAGGTGGGGAGTGGTGAGAAGAGGAAGAGGAGGAGGGAGAGGGCAAGTCGAGGAAAGCCTGAGGTGCAGCTAGGGGAACAAGTGGTTGAAGTGCAAGCAAGTGGTGATTTCCAGGTTCCAACCAGCGGAAATGGTAACAGAACGACATTTGCTGGATAATAAAAGTGAGACCGGCATTTTGTCTAGTGTCTCGTACCGTCATGCGATGTCTGCTGTTCGGATCAGAACATGAGAAAAGTGTTTTCTTCATATACATGTGTAATGGGTGTTGAGTTCATCTCAAAAGCACAATTTCATTTGCACGTACGAAACTCTGTTAGATCTGGCTGGTTCATGCGATTTACGCTGCTAACCACCTCCGTCAGTTTCACATGCTGATATCGGAGACCTCGTATCGCATATTTTCCGACTTTGAAGTGTCGCCTTTCTTGGGCGTGTCAGGAGGGGACTCAGATGACCGCGTCGCGTCTGTCAAACTTACTGTTCGTCAGATTGACAGATCTTTCACTTCTTGCCTCCTTGTAGTTCAAGTCACCGAGTTACGTAGGTATTTATGTCCTAGACTCCATCCCGAAGTAATGTACTGAGTAATATTTAAAGCCGTTCTGCTTAGGCCGTTCTGCTCTGTCCGCGTTTCCATGCCGATTGAGCAGCGCATCAACCGCGAACCTGTCTACGATGCGCCGTCGAAACTTCGAACGCGCGAGTCGATACAGACGTAACTCATAACTCAACTCGCACTTGGTTCTACTCCTAATAACTCAAGAGACGACGGATAGTCTTACGTGAGAAACTTGAGATCTTGAGCGTCGGCACGCGTTTTGACCCCGTCCTTGTTTCCACACCAAGCACACTCTGAAGTCTGTTCATGCTGCACACCCTTGGGTTTTAGGTGTATATACTCAGTTCTTGAGGCGTTACATTGTCCTATTAGCAGGTGTATATATTGACTCGTTAATCCGTATTGTCCAGAGTTAAGACTCTAGAGGCCTTTAGCTGTCGTGTAACTTGACAGTGAAATTAATTGTTCAAAGAGAGCGATATTGTAGCGAGTCCATAATCTAGCCGCGTTGAAACGGTAAAGGGAAGGCTTAAACCAGCGGAGTGCGTTGTCACCCCAATAAGCAGCCATGGGTTGCTGTATATCGCGTTCTAACGGAGCAGGACAGCTCTCCGAAACTGCGACGATTAACGGAGCACCTAATAGCGGAGCAGCGGTCCCGCTTCAACAGCAGGGCAGCACGCGGCAACAGTCCTTAGTAACTCCTTCCCAGAAACTAGTAGGTGCAGTGACAGCAGCACGACCGTCGGAACCATCAGCAGCGTCTGCACCTGCACCTGTAGCAGTACCAGCAGTACCAGCAGCAGCAGCAGCAGCAGCAACAGCAGCAGGAGCAATACCAGCAGCAGCACCAGAGGCAGCACCAGCGTCAGCAGCGTCTAGCAGCCACAACACCCCCATCACTGTTTCCGCTTCAAACCCTCCCCCTCTCCCGTTCCCTCTCCCCATGGTGGTTCTAGACGATCCAGTGGAGGAGGCTATAGCGCGTATGAAGGCTGACGACGCCACGCCAGACCCTGCCGCCCTGCTGCTGCAGCGGCCAGAGCTAGGGGATGTTGCCCCGGGAATGGGGGGATTACTGGGTTTACCCTCTTTTAGGGTTCGCGGGGAGGAGTGGGAGGGAGGGTCGGGGCTGGAAGGGAGGGGAGGAGAGGGGAGTGGGGGGGATGGGAGAGCGGGAGGTGGTTCGTTTGGAGGTGGTTATAACGAGGATGGGAATGTGATTGATTTGGAAGGGGTGTTGGATGGAGGGGAGGAGGAGGAGGAGGAGGAGGGGGATGAAGGGGGGATTGATATGGGAGATTTACTAGCGGGGTTAGGGGAGGGGGACGAGGCGGAAGAGGGTAGAGAAAGGGAGGAGGAGGGAGAAAGGGGAGGGGATGAGAGGGAGGAGGAGGGGGAGGAAAGGGGAGAGGAAGGGGGGCGAGTGGGAGGAACTGCGTTGGCGTTGGGGGAGGAGGAAGGGGAGTGGGGCAAGGCGTTGGGAGACGAACTGGGAAGGGGAAGGACGATGGAAAGAGAAACGGAAGAGGGGATACTAGAGGCACCAGGGGAGGAAAATGGAGAGCTCGTGGTGGGGATGGGTGAGAGAAGAGAGAGAATCGGTGGTGAGGGATGCAAAGCGGTGGAGGGAGGTGGGGCAGGAGATGCAGGAGGAAGGGGACTAGTAGGAGAAGGAGCAAGAGTGAGCGATTTAGAGGAAGGGACGTACTCAGTGCAGCAGCAGAGAGATGTGCTTTCAGAAAGGGAGCAGATTCAGTCAGAAGAGATGGTGACTTTGGATAGAAATGCTCGTGGTGCTGTAACGGGTGCTTTGGCGTGTGACAATAGGGAGAGTGACACAAGGGAGGGTGACCTAGGGGAGAGTGACCAAGAGGAGAATAGTCACGCCTTGGAGGGGGCTAATGGAGCTAATGGTCACTTGGAGCGTCCGTTTCAGCAGCTTAATGAATCGGAGAGGCGACACTATAACGAGGACGATGTGGATATGGAGGCATTAGAGGAGCTGCTGCAGCTGTGTGCTGATGATGATGGTGACGATGGTGATAATCATGGTGATGGTCGTGGTGGTGGTGATGCTCGTAGTGGCGTTCGTGCTCGTGATGATGATTATAGTCATGGTCACGGTGGTGATGATTACAGTGGCGCTTGTGCTCGTGGTGATGACAATAATAGTCATGGTCACGGTGGTGATGGTAATACTCATGGTCACGGGGATGGATTCTCATCTGATGCGCCTCAAACGGGCTTCCCAGCAGATTTTCGAAACGAGCCACTGGTATCAGCACAGCAGAGACAGGACATGGCAGACCGAAATGCAGGTGCATCTCATGTTAGCGAATCTTCCTTTGATCCTGAGAGCGATCCCATACAAGCAGCCTCGATAGCAGCAGAGCGGTCGCTGGCGGCAGTGGCGGGGATAGCAGCCGAGTGTTTGGAGCGGGAGTTGAGTCGGTTTGAGGTGATCTGCCCGCCTGGCGGGGAGAAGCTGGTGGTGCTGTATGTGACTTCGCTTGAAGCAGTCAGGAAGACGCATGCTGACTGTGTGAAGATGCGGGCACTCCTCAAGGTGAGCGGTGTGCTCAAGGTAAGTGGTTTGCACGGGCAGCAGAGCGGTTGCTGGCGGCAGTGGCGGGGATAGCAGCGGTGACATGCCACGTGTCCCGCAGCTATTTGTGCGCGGGTGGCACGTGGACGGCACAGAGGCCGTGCTACAGATGTACGAGGAAGGGGCACTGGACGCCCTGTCAGTGCCAGCTGCTGCTGCTATTCATTCCCCATTCAACCTCCCCCCTCCTCTCCCTTTTCCCCACCGCTTCTGCAACCTTTCGCCCATTTTCCTCCTGCCAATCAGAGCCTTCACCTGCGATTCCAGGAGCGTGACGTGGCACTACACTCAGCTTACCAGGATGAGCTGCTGCTGCTATTCGCGGGGGACATGCCACGTGTCCCGCAGCTATTCGTGCGCGGGCGGCACGTGGGCGGCACGGAAGCTGTGCTACAGATGTACGAGGAGGGGGCGCTAGACGCCCTGGTTGTCTGGCTCAAGGCGGCGGGCGGCGGCGCGGCTGTAGCGGCCAGCGGGCGGCGTAGTTTGTCTGTTAGTGCTGCTGGTGGTGCTGCTGCTGGTTCTTCTGCCGGTGCTACTGGTGGGAATGTGTGTAGTAGTTGTGGCGATGTGCGGTTTGTTCCCTGCAGTTATTGCCATGGAAGCAGGAAGGTAGCTTCTGGGGGAGGTGCTGGTGGTAGTGGGGGTAGGTTTTTTGAGTGTGATGTGTGTAACGAGAATGGGCTGGTTTTGTGTCCTAGTTGTAACGGGGCGGCCAGATGAGTGTAGCTATTTTGTTTTACTACAGTTCCCCGTTAGAAGAAAATAAACATGTAAAATTGCACTGTACATGTGTACATTGACTGTGTCGCATCACATCTGCTACCATGATTCGCACACATGCAAATGCCGACATTTATCTCATGTATCGAATTCGTTTTCTAACAAGCAACAGCCCTGCTCAGCTGCTATTGAATGTCGCAACACTATGTACAAATGAGGAGACCACGACCAGCTTGTAACGGAACACATTGTATGGAGCTGTGTAGATGGTACTTTCACCACTCCCCTGCTTCCCTTCCTTCCCCTTGCACCGGTTCCCCCCTCCACTACTCTCCCCTCACACTGATCCTCTTGTGCAACCTCAGTCACATGCCTTGTTCCCTTAACGCTCGCGCCTCTCTGTCTGCCTCCCTGTGCGTCTGCTGCACCACCCACTCCTCAAACGGCGTGCCCAGGTTCCACCAGCCGGCCGTGCGCTTAGAGGCATCCAAAACACGCGGGCACATGGGCGTGTCTGCTCACAGTCACACGCTCTCTACATGCCTTGCCCATGCCCCACCCGTGCCTGCCTGTGCGTCTGCTGCACCACCCACTCCTCAAACGGCGTGCCCAGGTTCCACCAGCTGGCCGTGCGCTTAGAGGCATCCAGAACGCGAGGGCCAGGCGCGTGGGCTTGCCCCAGAGCGCTGTGGTGCAGGCCATATGTGAGGTAAACGAGTCCTCCTATAGCGAGCCATGAGGAGGAGTAGAGCCACGTGGTGGCACTAGAAGGTGGGAAGAGATGGGGGTTGGGGAATGACAGGGGAAGGTGATTGAGAGGAAGGGGAGATGAAAGAGGGCCCGGCGTGTGGGCTTGCCCCAGAGCACTATGGCCAATTCCGTAGGCGAGGTAAACGAGCGCTCCTATAGCGAGCCAGGAGGAGGAGTAGAGCCACGTGGTGGCACTGGTGAGGGGGGGGAGGGGAGGGGAGGGAAGAATGGGGAGGGAAGCAGGACAGATGGAGGGCCAGAGCGCTGTGGCGAATGCCATAGGAGAGGTAAACGAGTGCTCCTATAGCGAGCCAGGAGGAGGAGTAGAGCCACGTGGTGGCACTGGGGGAAAAGGGAGGGGGGCGGGGAATGGGGAATGGAGCGGGAAACAGGAGGGATGAAGGGGGTTCAGAGCGCTGTGGTGATGGCCGTATGTGAGGTAGCAGTGTGCGTCTATGGCGAGCCATGAGGAGGAATAGAGCCGCGTGGTGGCACTGGCAGGGGAGAGGCAGGGTCGGGGAATGGGATGAAGTGGAGGAAGAGGAAAGATGGCCAAGGGCGTGGGACCTAGTGGGTTGACTCTGGTTGACCTTGTTGACTCTGATTGATTTGATTGGATCAAATGACGAGGGGAGGGAAACCACACCACCCAGGGATACTGGAATACTGGAGGGCGTTGACTCTGGTTAACCCCAGGTTCGCTATGAGGTACACGTTGACGAGGATACTCGCGAGGGGAACACACCCAGGGGCACTGGCACCCTGGGAGATGGGCGTCGACTCTAGTTGACCTTCGTTGACTCCTATTGACCTGCTTGACTCTGTTGACCTACTTGACTTTGCTTGGCTCTGCTTAATTAAGACTGACTTTCTTTACTTGCTCTCTCACCCCAGATTCGCCATAAAGTACACCTTGGCAAGGATTCTGGTGTGGAGGTAAAAACAGCAATGCTTCAAAGGATGCTGACGGGTGAACTAAAGCTAGTCATATGAACTCCAAGAGTCACATGAAATAAAAATTCATGGAGACAACAATCCCCGTGCACTTCCCTAGCGCGTTCGCCTACGTATACACGCATGCTACAGAGGAAGTTACTGCCAAGATATAGCGTGCACACGTAGGCGAACATGCTAGGGAAGTGCCTTTCGAGGAGCCTCAAAAGTCGTTCGCCTACGTGTACACGCATGCCAAGGAGGAAGATATTGCCAAGATATAGCGTGTACTGGGACATACGTGTATCACGGGGTGACTTTTGAGTCGACTCAAAAGTATAGCGTGTACTGGGACATACGTGTATCACGTAGGTGAACGCGCTAGGGAAGTGCACTGGGATAATTTGCTCCATGCATCTAAATGCATCCATGCAACTCTTTGAAGATTCCTAAGACTAGCTTTAGATCACCTGTCAGCATTCTTTAGATGGAAACCTGGAAGACGGGCGTTGACTTGACTCCGGTTGAACTGCTTGACTCTGGTTGAGAGGTTGACTTGCTCTCAACCCAGATTCGCCATGAGGTACACGTTGGCAAGGATGCTGGCAAGGGGAAGCCACGGCACCCAGGGAGAAGGGCCTTGACTCTGGTTGACTTTTCTTGACTCTGTTGACCCGTGAAGCTTATACTCACCCTGAATTCGCCGTGAGGTACACGTTGGCAAGGATGCTGACGAGGGCCCGAGGGGAAGGAAACCACAACACTCAGGGGCAATGGAACCCTGGAAGAAGGGCGTTGACTCTGGTTGACTTGCCTTGACTTGTCACCCCAAGTTGGCCATGAGGTAAACGTTGATAAGGATGCTGGCAAGTGGGAGGAGGAAGCACCAACACCCAGGGGCAATGAAACCCTGGGAGAAGAGCGTTGACTCTGGTTGACTCTGCTTGACCTGCTCTCTATCCAGGTTGAACATGAGATAAACATTGACTCGGTTTGATTTGCTTGACTCGGTTTGACTTGCTTGACTCGGTTTGATTTGCTTGACTCGGTTTGACTTGCTTGACTCGGTTTGATTTGCTTGACTCGGTTTGACTTGCTTGACTCGGTTTGATTTGCTTGACTTGGTATCATCTGCTTGAATCGGTTTGACTTGCTTGCTCGGTTTGACTTGCTTGACTCGGTGTGATCTGCTTGACTCGGTTTGACTTGCTCTTAACCTTGAGGTGCACGTTGACAAGGATGCTGGCGAGGGGTAGGAGGAAACCACAACACCCAGTCCAATGGAACCCAGGAAGCAAGGAGTTGACTCTGGTTGACTCGGTTTGACTTGCGCTTACCCCAGATTGGCCATGAGGTACACGTTGACAAGGATGGAAGCCACGGCACCAAGGGAGAAAGGCGTTGACTCTGGTTGACTTTGGTTGACTCGTACTCACCCCAAGTTGGCCATGAGGTACACGTTGACCAGGATGCTGGCGAGGGGAAGCCACGGCACCCAGGGACAGTGGAAACCTGAAGAGCGGGTTTCGAACAGGGAACAGTGGTGGAAAAAAGGGAGAAGGGGAGGGGAGTTTGAGGCGCCTCAAAACTCACCTCAAGGGACAGTGGAAACCTGGAGAGTGGTTTCCGAACAGGGAATAGGGGTGGAAATAGGGAGGAGGGGGAGGAAGAGTGGGAAAGGACAATTTAGACGCCTAGGGAAGCAAGGATGAAAGGGAGGGGAAGGCACGGCAACAAGGGGAGGCACGGCAACAAGGGGAGGCACGGCAACAAGGGGCAATGGAACTGTGAAAGGTTGATGTGAGTCAGACTTTTGAGCATTCTCGAGAGTGACTCACGGAATCCTGGAAGTTATTGTCTGGACTCGACTTTGTAATCCCCCTCACCTCCTGCTGATCCGAACTGGTGCCTTCCCTCGTCCTCGTTGATACATCCAAACGTTGCCGCCCCTCCGAGGAACAGTGGGCCGCCCAGAGAGAATAGTAGGAGAGGTAACCAGCTGGTGAGAGGGGAGAGGGGAGAAGGAGCAGAAGAGAGAGTTGAGGGTCGGGGACAGGAGAGAGGGTAGGTGACAGGGAGGAGCGTAAGGGACAGGGAGAGGGGGTGTGGGAGAGGAGAGAGGGGACAGGTGGCAAGGGAGAGAGTTCAGCAGTAGTGACAGCTGGCCTCTTGTGCCACTGGGCATACACGACTTTTGAGGCGCATACAAATTCTCTCAGGTATAAGGTGCCTCGCAAATCTCTTTAAGGCGCCTGAAAAAGTTAAGACATTAGCAGTAGTGACAGCTGGCCTCTTGTGCCACTGTGCATGGTCGTCGCTACATTCATCAGAAGGATATGGATGGATGTGTGCCTGAAGCATGGACTGTATTTCTTACCCTGACAAGCTGGTTTTTGAGAATTCTCATCAAGGCTTTTGAGAATTCTCATCAATGTTTTTGAGAATTCTCATCAAGGCTTTTGAGAATTCTCGTCAAGGTTTTTGAGAATTCTCAAAAACCAGACTGTGTCTGCCGCATGGACTGTATTTCTTACCCTGATAAGCTGTGTAGAGATGGGAAGCGTTACCACTCACTCTGAGGTCAGCAGAAGGCAGAGCCACAGCAGCAGCACTGGTAGCAGAAGTGGCCGCAGCAGCAGACGCTGGAAGGAGGAAAATCGTTACTCACTCTGAGAAGCTGTTGAGAAAGGGGAAGCGTTGCAACTCACTCTGAAAGGTCAGCGGAAGACGAAGCCACAGCAGCAGCAGCGCCAAGCAGAGGGGCACCCAGTGAGACGGCAACGATGGCTCGAGAGGCAAGTCGCCTGTGGGATGCGGGTGCAGCGACGGCTATAGCAGCTGTAGCGGCTGTAGCAGGACCTGTCACAGCAGGTGTGGCTGTAGCAGTGACTGTAGTAGGTGTGACAGCAGTGGGGAGAGCAGAACCCTGTTTCCTGCCGCCTGAAGTGTTGCAGGCGATCTCAACAGCAGCTTCATCACCCATTCCTCTCGATACTGTGGTGTTGTATTCGGTGGAAACGTTTGCTGTATGGTGCTGCTGCTCTTCTCGCTCCTCCCCTCCGTCCTCCTCACCTTCCTCATCCCCTCCCTCCTCCTCACTCTCCTCCTCCTCCCCTCTTTCTTCCTCCTTCTCCTCCTCTTCCCCTCCCTCCCCTTCCCCCTCCCCCTCTCCCGCCCTCTCTTCAAGCAACCGTGCCAGCAGCGGTGCTTGAAACGAGTTGGGAGTGAGAGAAAACACGGACTGCAGCTGGCCGTTGGATCGGATTTCAACGGCTGGAGATGTGCCCAGGCTGTCCGGCGAGCCCATGTGCCTGAACACACTGGATTGGCCGACCGGGAGAGGGGAAGAGACAAAAAAACCCGCCCCTGCTGCTGCGGCGGTTGGAAGGGAGGATGTTATATACTGAGGTCGAGTTGGGGGTGAGAAAGCATAGGCTGGTAAGGGGCGGGAGGAGGATGATGTGGGGTAGTGAGGCTGGTTGTGGGAGGAAGAGGAGGAGGAGGATGGGTGGAGGGAAGGGGTGTGTGAGGAGGGGAGTGGGGTGGGAGGAGAGGCGGGAGGCGTGTAGCGAAGGATAAGGACTGAGAGGCTGACGGTGGTGAATGCGAGGAGAGTGCCGACACTGACCTGGAGTGGGCATGGGTGGGGGGGAGAGGGGGATGGGCAGGAGAGGGTGAGAATGAACGAAAGATGTTTGGGGTTTATGGGTATGTGCAGCGAAGGATGAGGGCTGAGAGGCTGACAGTGGTGAATGCAAGAAGGGTGCCGACACTGACCTGGAGCGGGCACAGGGGAGGCAGGCAGTGAAAGAGGAGTGCGAGAGAAAGGGAGCAGATAGGCAGATTATCAATCACTGAAGGATGAGGGCTGAGAGGCTGACAGTGGTGAATGCGAGGAGGGTTGGTTGGAAGGAAGAAGAGGGTAAGAATAAACAAGATGACTATGAAAACCATGCCATGATTACGCCCCCCACTCACCATGGTCCCACTTAGCCCCCCTCCCCCCCCCTCTCCCTCCACCCCCTTCCAACCCACCATGCCTAACAGCTGCCCGATATCCAGCACAAACACGCCACGGCCACAGCCAATAGCCCGCTGACAGCACTCTCTTCATGCTCCCCATAACCCATGCTTACCACGCTTCTCACTACAAAAACACATTCTACGACAGTTGCCCACCATCCCTGCCCCCCCCCACCCACCATGCCCGCCAGCTGCCCGATATCCAGCACGAACGTCAAGGCAGCGGCCACTAGCCCATGTGAGCACCATGCCTGACAGCATGCTCCCCATGCGTAAACACTACACGGAAATTCCCTCCCCCCACCATGCCCGACAGCTGCCCGATATCCAGCACGAACGCCAAGGCAGCGGCCACTAGCCCATGTGAGCACCATGCCTGACAGCATGCTCCCCATGCGTAAACACTACACGGAAATTCCCTCCCCCCACCATGCCCGACAGCTGCCCGATATCCAGCACGAACGTCAAGGCAGCGGCCACTAGCCCATGTGAGCACCATGCCTGACAGCATGCTCCCCATGCGTAAACACTACACGGAAATTCCCTCCCCCCACCATGCCCGACAGCTGCCCGATATCCAGCACGAACGTCAAGGCAGCGGCCACTAGCCCATGTGAGCACCATGCCTGACAGCATGCTCCCCATGCGTAAACACTACACGGAAATTCCCTCCCCCCACCATGCCCGACAGCTGCCCGATATCCAGCACGAACGTCAAGGCAGCGGCCACTAGCCCATGTGAGCACCATGCCTGACAGCATGCTCCCCATGCGTAAACACTACACGGAAATTCCCTCCCCCCACCATGCCCGACAGCTGCCCGATATCCAGCACGAACGCCAAGGCAGCGGCCACTAGCCCATGTGAGCACCATGCCTGACAGCATGCTCCCCATGCGTAAACACTACACGGAAATTCCCTCCCCCCACCATGCCCGACAGCTGCCCGATATCCAGCACGAACGCCAAGGCAGCGGCCACTAGCCCATGTGAGCACCATGCCTGACAGCATGCTCCCCATGCGTAAACACTACACGGAAATTCCCTCCCCCCACCATGCCCGACAGCTGCCCGATATCCAGCACGAACGCCAAGGCAGCGGCCACTAGCCCATGTGAGCACCATGCCTGACAGCATGCTCCCCATGCGTAAACACTACACGGAAATTCCCTCCCCCCACCATGCCCGACAGCTGCCCGATATCCAGCACGAACGTCAAGGCAGCGGCCACTAGCCCATGTGAGCACCATGCCTGACAGCATGCTCCCCATGCGTAAACACTACACGGAAATTCCCTCCCCCCACCATGCCCGACAGCTGCCCGATATCCAGCACGAACGCCAAGGCAGCGGCCACTAGCCCATGTGAGCACCATGCCTGACAGCATGCTCCCCATGCGTAAACACTACACGGAAATTCCCTCCCCCCACCATGCCCGACAGCTGCCCGATATCCAGCACGAACGTCAAGGCAGCGGCCACTAGCCCATGTGAGCACCATGCCTGACAGCATGCTCCCCATGCGTAAACACTACACGGAAATTCCCTCCCCCCACCATGCCCGACAGCTGCCCGATATCCAGCACGAACGTCAAGGCAGCGGCCACTAGCCCATGTGAGCACCATGCCTGACAGCATGCTCCCCATGCGTAAACACTACACGGAAATTCCCTCCCCCCACCATGCCCGACAGCTGCCCGATATCCAGCACGAACGCCAAGGCAGCGGCCACTAGCCCATGTAAGCACCATGCCTGACAGCATGCTCCCCATGCGTAAACACTACACGGAAATTCCCTCCCCCCACCATGCCCGACAGCTGCCCGATATCCAGCACGAACGTCAAGGCAGCGGCCACTAGCCCATGTGAGCACCATGCCTGACAGCATGCTCCCCATGCGTAAACACTACACGGAAATTCCCTCCCCCCACCATGCCCGACAGCTGCCCGATATCCAGCACGAACGCCAAGGCAGCGGCCACTAGCCCATGTAAGCCATGGCAGCACGCTCCCCATGCTCCCATGCCTCCAATCCCCCCATCCCTCCCCTCCCTTACCCACACCCACCATGCCTGACAGCTGCCCGATATCAAGCACGAACGCCATGGCGGCGGCCAATAGCCCGGTGACAGCTGTCGCGTTCTGAGGCACTCCCGTGGCCTTGTCGATGCGGCCGAACCAGGCTGGGAGGAGCCCGTCGCGTGCCATCACCATCAGAATGCGCGGCTGCACGGGGAGAAGGGTGAGGGGAGTGTGTGGGGAGCATGTCGGTTGTGTCTGAGGGGAGGGTGTAGGGAGTGCCGTGGAACCAGGCTGGGAGGAGCCCGTCCCGAGCCATCACCATGAGGATGCGCGGCTGTGGGGGGTGGGGGGGATGGGGGGAAGGGATTCGGGGCACCTAAAGAAACGAACCAGGTGGGGAGGAGGCCATATGAGAATGCGTGGCTGTGTGTGGGAGTGTGGAAAAAGAGTGATTGAAGTATGGGGGCAGTGTGTAGGGAGCGAGAGCGTGAAGGAGTGTGGAGGGACTGTGGCGAGGCAACTGAACAGCAGCAAGTGCAAGATACCATGAAGCGTAACCTACTATCTATCTGACAAAAGGTGCCTGACGCGGGAGGTGCTAAATATTGCCGGATGTGAGAAGCACCTGGGACAGCACACAAAGGGCACCTGCAGGGAACAGGCGCAAAACACCTGAAGCACCTGAGAAGCACCTGAAGCACCTGAGAAGCACCTGAAGCACCTGAGAAGCACCTGAAGCACCTGACAAGCACCTGAAGCAGCAGGTGGGATGCGGACAGTAACTACCTGAGGCAGCAGGGATCCGAGCAGAGTAGTGGAAAGAGCTGCAAGCGCACCTCCTGTTACAAGGTACCTGCGATACAAGCACATGTAAGATACGAACACGTGCCGTTCAGATGACACATTATTCAGGCTCCTTTGGAGTCGACTCAAAAGCAGACTCCTTTTGACTCGACTCAAAAGCACACACTATTCAAGCTCATATCTCGCACTTTGCACAGGCGTATCTCACACTCACTCACTCACTCTTGCACACACATGTCCGCACTCTCACTCACTTGGCCCAGTCCAGGTGGTACGTTTGAAACGCCTGAAATCTAAACACACTCACTTAATCACTCTCACTCTCTCACTCACTTGGCCCAGTCCAGGTGGTACGTCTGGACACCTGAGCCATGAGGCAACACACCCACATACACACACTCCCTTCCTCACTCACTTGGCCCAGTCCAGGTGGTACGTCTGGACACCTGAGCCATGGGCATGTCTGGGTCAATGCGGTCAAACGGAGTCAACCCCACCAGCACCGCCACTCCCTCACACCACTCCCTCACTCACTTGGCCCAGTCTAGGTGGTAGGTGTCAAACGCCTGAGCCATGGGTGTGTCCGGGTCAATGCGGTCAAACGGAGTCAACCCCACCAGCACCGCTGCTATCACCATGTAGAGCGCGCCACAGCACGTCAGAGACATGCCTATTCCCAAAGGCAGGTCGCGCTGAGGGTGCTTCACCTGTTTATAGAGACGGGGGGGAGGGGAGGGAGAGAATATGGGGAATTGAGATGGAGAGTAGTTGTGGGCACGTAGAGTGGCGCTATCACCATGTAGAGAGCGCCACTGCAGGTAAGGGACAGGCCTATTCCCAGAGGCAGGTCCCTCTGAGGGTGCTTCACCTGTGTCACATGAGTGGTATTCAAATAACCGAGACGAGATGACTTCTGAGTCGACTCAAACGACGGTGCTTTACCTGTATCAGGCACGGAAATAGAGCGAACTGAAAACGCTGACAAGGATGATGAATATCAGTGCATGCAGGTTGACATGCAAACAAACACGCGAAATGGTGACAGTGCCTCAGTCAATTGACGTTCCACAGATCATACGCTGTACTGTCATGAGTCCAGGATGTTCCAGTGTGGGAAAGAAAAGAAGCCATGTCAGAGGTAGCAGTTGTCTCGGTTTTGCTTTGAGTCGACTCAAAACATAATCCAGTGTAAGAAAGAAATCAAGTCATGTGAGGGGCATCAGTGGTCTCCGTTTTACACTAAAGATGACGCTAGTAACCTCAAGTTACCTCAGCCATACCTCTTCTGCTGTGCTTGCAACTGTATCAAATCCAATGTACGAGAAAAAGGCCATCGCTGCTCCTCCCAGCAATCCCGACACACCGAATGGTAGATAGCTGGAAGAGACAGGACGATAATAGGGAGAAACGGGTGAAGGAGGGATAAAGAAAAGCAAAGAAGGCTATTGCAGCTGCTCTCTGTATTCCAGACACAAACGGAACACATAGTTGGGTTGGGGTTGAGAGCAAACAAGGAAAGGTAAGCATGGGACTGACTGGATCAACAAAGAAAAGTATGGACTTTGCCCCCCGGGGGCTTGGAGGCACAGAACGAAATGGTACGGATCTGAGTTTGCATGTAGACACACGGAAGGGAGGTGAAGTGCAGTTAAGGTATGGGTTCGGATGAAAGGAATTTTGAAGGGGTTTTGAGACGACTCAAAACATGGAGACACATGAAGGGAGGTGTGTGTGAGGGTACATAGGTTATGGATTCGAGTCAAAGGAAATGTAACAGGTTATCGTCAACACAAAAACCCACACCACAAGCACCCACAGCACAAGCACCCACAGCACAAGCACCCACAGCACAAGCACCCACACCACAAGAACCCACACCACAAGCACCCACACCACAAGCACCCACACCACAAGCACTCACACCACAAGCACCCACAGCACAAGCACCCACAGCAGAAGCACCCACAGCAGAAGCACCCACAGAAGCACCCATACCCCCCCAAGATTACTGCATTCTTATCACCCACCTTGGAGCCTCCTTGTACCCTGGCCAGCCATGGGTAAATCCTATCCATGCCCCCGCCACCGCCACAAACAGCAATATTATCACATTCGCTACTGTCATCCCCATCTGGAAATTGGCGCTCTGCAAGGGGTAAGGGCAGAAACAGAGCGGAGGGATGTTGCAACGTAAGGAGGAAAAGGAAAGTGAAGACAAGAGACAGACACACGCACAGCACAATCACAATCGCTACAGTCGATCCCATCTGGAAATTAGCGCTCTGTTAGGAAGAGAAACAAAAGAGAGGGAAATTGAGCAGAAAACAGGGATACTGAACAGAAGCAAAGCAGAGGGACACTTAAGTTAACGAAAAAACAAAGTGAGGAGATGGGTAGAGCCCACGTGCCACACACCCACGTGACACACACCCACATGACACACACCCACGTGCTGCTGTACCCATACATACCTTAGGTTCAGACCCAGGGCAAACTCAGAGCTGCCTACCCCTCATCTCCCTGATGCCGGCAGACAGCAGCGCATTGACGAGAGGCACCATGAGGGCAGCGCAGCACACGGATGCAACACTAGAGTGGAAAAGCAGGCGGGCTACTCTAGTGCTTTTCTCTTGGCCTCTAGCAGTAGAGGCCATGCTCCTATGCTGTCTTTCTAAGACAAGTTCCCTCTCTGCTGCTCAGTTTTCCTCTATTTCTGGGACATTGTTCCTCCTCCATGTAAAGGCCCTCTAACCAGACAGTATACGCACCTCCTTGATGCCAGCAGACAGCAGTACCGTCACCGCAGCCACCATGGTTTGCAGCACAGTGCACGGATGGATGCAGCTGTGCCCATACCATAGCCCCTCTGCCTCATACCAGCCTGCCTCACCTCCTTGATGCCGGCAGACAGCAGTACAGTCACCGCAGCCACCATGAGCGCAGCGCACGGATCCAACACTATGGAGGTGCCCCTCTGGGAGTGTGGGTCACTCAACGCACGTCCATGATGCCGGCAGACAGCAGTACAGTCACCGCAGCCACCATGATTGCATTGCAGCGCACGGATCCAACACTACAGTGGTGCCTGGGAGGCTGGGACACGCAGGAAAGCCACACACCCACGCGCCACACAACCACGTGCTGCTGCCCCTATGCCTTAGCACCCTGCCTCATATCAGCCTGTTAACGCACCTCTTAGATGCCGGCCGACAGCAGTACAGTCACCGCAGCCACCATGAAGGCAGCACACGGAGGGATCCAACACTATAGTGGTGCCCCTCTGAGAGTATAGGTCAGTCAACGCACCTCCTTGATGCCGGCAGACAGCAGTACCGTCACCGCAGCCACCATGATGGCAGCGCACGCACGGATCCAACAGTACAGTGGTGCCTGGGACTGGTCAGTCAACCCACCTCTTTAATGCCGGCAGACAGCAGTACCGTCACCGCAGCCACCATGAGGGAAGCACACGGATCCAACACTACAGTGGTGCCTGGGACGGGCAGACGAGCCAGGATGAACGGTAGGCTGTCTGGCCCTCCCAACGCCGTTGCCTGAACAGGTGGTGGGAGGTAGGGCGGAGAGAGAGACGAGAGAATGAAGTTGGGAGATTGTATAGGGACTCACAGAGAACAAGATGGGCAGACGAGTCAGGATGAACGGCAGGGTGTCTGGCCCTCCCAACGCCGTTGCCTGAACTCATCATGTGGGGTGGGTAGGGCGGGCGGGAAATGAGAGTACAAATTTGAGACGTCTCAAAAGTTGGGTAGGGCGGGGGGGAAATGAGAGTACAAATTTGTATCGAAATGGGGCACGCAGGCGGGCCAAGGCAGGCTGTCTTTTGAGTCGACTCAAAAGTCACCTCAGTACAGATTTGTATCAGAATGGGACACGCAGGCGAGCCAAGGCAGGCTGGCTGCCCTGCCGAACGCCATTGCCTGAACACATGGTGAGGGCAGTGTGAGAACTGAGTGCGAAGCTGGGAGCGTATAGGTGTCTGCAAAGAACGGGAGTGGCAGGTGGGGCGGGATGGATCATGAAAGGCATGACATATGCCCCTCCAAATGCCATAGCCTGAACAGCGAGCACGTGGTCGGGGGAGTGAGATACGAGGGCATAGATGAGAGAAGGCGTGCTGGCCCCTAAATGTGCAGCATTGCACCTGTGGATTACGATTTTTGAGGCGCCTCAAAAGGCAATATTTGAGGCGATTTTTAAGGCGCCTCATAAATGTGCAGCATTGCACCTGAGTGAGCGAATTACCAGATTCGGTGAAATGCCTCGAGCCACTGCCGCCCCACCCACAGAATACTCAAGAATGAGCGCCCAGCCGATTAGCCATGCCACCCTGGTGGAATCATCAAAGAGGGAATAACAGAGAGACGGTTTTAAGTTGACTCACAGGTAAACATTGCATTGACTGTGCAACACTCCTCGAGACACTGCCGCCCCGCTTACAGAATACTCAAGTCCACTCACACTTCCCCCAATACCACTCACACTTCCCCCAATACCACTCACACTTCCCCCAACAGTCGTATAAGCGTAGTGGTAGGCACTGACAGCGGACGGGAAGCGACTGGCGAGCTCAGCACAGCAGAGAGCACACCTCCCCCATTCAACCCTCGCCTGGTAAACCTCCCCCACTAAAATCTCCCCAACTCACACTTCCCCCACAGTCGAATAAGCGTAGTGGTAGGCACTCCCAGCGGACGGGCAGCGACTGGCGAGCTCAGCGTAGCAGAGAGCAGCCAAGCCCGCAGCCACAGTGATTCTACAGCTCTAACACACCCCCCAAGCACACTCACACTTCTCCGACTGTCATGTAAGCGTAGTGGTAAGCACTGCCAGCAGAAGGGCAACGACTGGCGAGCTCAGCATAGCAGAGAGCATCCAAGCCCGCCGCCACGCCTGCTATAAAGAGGACGGTGAATCGTCTGCCTAGCCGTCTGCACTTACACTTTCCCCATTCCCCCATCCCACTCACACACACTCACACTTCCCCCACGGTTGTGTACGCGTAGTGGTAAGCACTCCCAGCTGACGGGCACCGACTGGCGAGCTCAGCGTAGCAGAGAGCAGCCAAGCCCGCCGCCACGCCTGCTATGAGGAAGGATATGGGTAGGGCTGGTCCAGCCTTCTCCCGCGCCACTGTGCCAATCAGAACATACACGCCCGCGCCTATGGTTGATCCCACTCCTGTTGCAGGTGGGGAGGTGCAAGGAAATGGCACGATCTGAGGTTATCAGCGAAGAAAAGGGCAGGGCTGATCCGGCCGTCTCTCGTGCCACTGTGCCAATGAGAACGTACACTCCCGCGCCAATAGTTGACCCAACTCCTGTTGCAGGTGAGGAAGAGGTGCAAGGGAATGGCACGATCTGAGGCTGCAAGGGAACAGCAGGTTCTGACGTGAAACCGATTCGTAGCCCAGGCAAGGGAGGGGTTGCTGCTCCGACCTTCTTCCGCGCCAGTGCCTAACATATGCGCGCGCACGTACACGCCCGCGCATCCGGATCGTTGACCCCACTCCTGCTGTGGGAGGCCACGCATCTTTCTTAATCCCCACTCCTCCCTCCCACCGCTCAAAACAGATCAGCGCAGATCGGACGGTTGACCTCACTCCAGGCACCTTTCTTAGACCAGACTCCCTACGTCCGCCGCTCAAAACAGATCAAGCTCAAACCGGACCGCGAGAGGGCCGGTTTGGGATCACATACAGACTGGGATGGACTGAAGCTAACCTGGCGGGGTGGATGAAGGCGCACTTATGAAGCATAGTACCTAGCGGGATGAGCTGCCAGAACGTGAGGCACTTGGGGAGCGGCGCTGCCATGAGGTTCGTGTGCGACTGAGAGTGCTTCAATCGAAACATCCCTCCCAACGAATTATGCCGGGTAAATCCCTCTCGCCTCGTACCAGCACCCGCTCCTCCTCCTCCGCCAGTCCCCGTTCCTCCGCGTTCCCCGCCGGATTCCTGGATCCTACGGTAGCCGGAATCGTGGATCTGCGGTTGAGATCCCCATCCGGGGGATGGATGGTGCGGATACGCGCCACCAGCGCCAGTTCGATCCGACGGTTGAGAATTCCCGAGGAGAGGCGCACCGTGATGATCTAGAGATCCCCCAAGGCGATCCATGTTGACCGATGCTTGCACAGGTCTCGGAACGTACTCGTTACAAGTATTAAGCTCCGATCGGTGCACAGACTAACCCATAGGAGTTACTTTACCACCATGATGCGCACAATTCGAAACAGCTTTAGATTCGGCGCGATTTTTTTCAATCTAGTTGTACGGCTGGCGGTGCGTGAAGCTATACGTCGATCAGAACTGCTTATCATTGAGAAATCCCATTCTACGGCTGTCTCGCGACTCGTTCAACGCGGCAATCTCCTGCCAGCGGATGGGTGTGGTAAAGTAACCGACACAGTAAAGCATGCCAATATGCTAAACTTCTTTTAGAAGAAGAGGTAAGTGCCAGCGCTAGCGGTTCAGGTTACACCCGTATTGGCTTGTTCCATCCGTTCAAAACATCTAATCTCTCTGGTCCAGTTTCCATCGAGCTTGTTAGGAGGAGGACTTCGTCGCGCGATTGACGGATGGGAAGCTGAATTCGTTGTCGAAAATTTGAACAGAAAAGGTTGGAGCTTGGATATGGCACGCGAAATTACTGTAACGAGCCAGTCAGCAGACTGGGAGCTTCCTTGCTGGACAACTGGAGAAGCATGTACTTCTGATTGGTGGTTATGCCACATCAGCGTCGAGACACCAGTAATGCCACCCAAGGAAATAATTGCGCGACGCGTCCGTTTTCGAATTTTCCTCAATCCTGTGGAGTACCCTCGCACCACGTTCCCCCCTTTCTGATATCTCTCAATCCCGTGGAGTTCCACTTGTTTCTACACCAGCCATCATCGTCTTGTCACTCCGTGTACGTGTTTTTGACCACAGTATAGTCCCTGAGATTCCACGCTTTAGGGTGATGCGCATCAGACGCGATCCAGATTCAATGATTGCAAATGTTTCGTAGGATTTGTCATTTTGCGTAGTTGCAGGCAACTGTACGATGCACAGTTGCGTGAGGGCGGTGGATTTCAGTGTAACGACAACTGCACCGCGAAATTATTACACACCGACTAAGAGACAAAATAGACGGCACTGTACCTCTAAACCTGTGAGATTAAAAGAAACTGACATTGTAGGGCAAACCATGCCTCGTGTGATAATGTAACTTCCAACAGAAAAATCCCATCACTCTTTCCTGAAGAAGTATAAACATATCGCGAAAGCGCATGTGGAACTCCACGGGATTGAGAGATATCAGAAAGGGGGGAACGTGGTGCGAGGGTACTCCACAGGATTGAGGAAAAAATGAAAACGGACGCGTCGCGCAATTATTTCCCACCCAAGTCTACGTCAACGACACGAATGCATGACTCAAGTGTTCCAGAGCCACCGAACCCGATTAGACGCGGTTCGATTCAATGCGGCTCATTGGTAGTACAAGGAACACAATTCTTGGCATTCACGGGAAAAAATATACCTAATATTTCATTTCAAGTGTACGTGAACTCATTCAGGGGAAATATGTGTACTCCTTTGGCCTCCATACACTCCCAATCCTGACTGCAGCTCCAACTTGCGAAAGTTGCTGGTGGAATAGAATCTCAGGGGACCATCGCAAGCAAGAAACAAGGGTGAGAAAGCAGGGTTAGCAAATCCTGAGAAACTGTAATGGAAGGTTGCTGACTGGAAACATGAAAGCCAGAGCCAGAACCACTCTCCCTGCCTGCACACGTGTCAGCGCCCAAGGGAAAGACTGGCAAGTGCAGGCTTTCCATGTTCTGAGATGTGTCGATTTCCTAAAGCTGCAAATGTGAGGGCGTGACAAAGCCCGTAAAATGTGGGTCCCATAGTCTCCCAGCCTGTGCATGACTGAGCACAGGAGGGCGCCTTTGGTACAGCAGGACCTCATCCCCATTCCTGCCACTGCCGCCCATTGCTGCTCTCACTCCGTGCATGCCGTGAGGCACACAGAGAGAAAGAGAGCACAAGCGATGGCCGTGACTGCGAGGGGTGCTGATATGGGAGAGGTTGCGAGCGTGGAGCATGGGAAGCTTCCAAAACATGCCACTGGGGCCCTCTCCTAAGAGATAGATGGGCAAACAGAGGGATGGACGGATGGATGGGCGAACGGACAGGGGAGTGGACGGACGAACTGCGGACAGACGGGCAAGGAGGGAGCCAGGGAGGAGCAGAGTGGAAGTAAGGAGAGGAGTGGTGGGGAGAAAGGACTGGGTAAGAGAAGGATCAAATACGAGTGTGGAGTAAGCAAGAGGAGCTTCAAGGTTGTTCCATCGATGTGTCTTCTGATGAATGTGATGTAAGGATTGAACGGAGAGAGTGAACTGGAAGAGCGAATGGAGTGAACGCAAGAGGAGGCAAACAGGGAGAGGCAAAGAGTGTGGGCAAGAGGGCTAAGGATTGCAGGGAAGAGGAGAGGGGGCAGTGGGGTGGCAGTCGTGAGGTTGCGGGAGAAGGCGGAGCAGAAAAGAAAGGCAACTTACCGTAATATAAAACGCCAATTACGAGGCAGGCGTGTTCTCCGAATTCCCAAAGAACCCATACATATGGGCGTCTTCAGCATTCATATTAGATTTATAAGCATTTGACTGCACTTACTCATTCACCAATTGAGCAAGAGTTGTGAGAAACCTGCGGGAGAGGATCAATCAGATCAGCCAGCTGTGCTTTTGGGTCGACTCAAATCTTGACTTAAAAGCTCGACTCAAAATTCAGAATTTGAGCAGGAGGGGTCAGACACTCCGGCCGGAGAGGATCAATCAGATCAGCCAGCTGAGTCTGTGGCCAGCAACCAATCAGAGCAGAGGCAGAGACAGAGAGAGTCAAGAGAGGAGGAAAGGAAGTGAGTATGAGAGAGATTGAACGAGAAAAATACTTCCCGTTCTCTCCCATGCCCCCTGTCTTCCTACCCTGAAACCTGCTGTCTGTTGCTCCTGTCTGCTTGGAAACGTGGCTGCAAACACGGCCAGTGATGGTCAGAATAAGTAGCTTTCATCATTCCCCTCTGCCATTCAGTAATCGATTCATCGATTCAGGTATTCATAATAATTCATAAAAGAATCGCATATACGCTTTAGAGGCGCACTTACAGAAGCGCGAAGGGAAAGGGTTGCAATAAGGAGGACATCGAGTAAGAGGATAAACAATGAGTGCATGCATACCACAGAGACAACTCAAAGTCACAGCAGGAAAGTGGGCGAATGCAAAGGGGGCCAAAAGAACAAGCTCCTGCATTGACTCACTCAATAGACATCATGAAATTCGATGCTTGTGCATGTTCAGAGAGCAAACGGAGCAAAATCAACAGGCGAACTTCAGAGACGACTCGTATGTCATGGCAGGCGGGTGGGCGAAAAACAAGGGGGCGAAAAAAGAGGGTGCCAAGGGCCGAGTTCAACAGTTGAACTCGCTAATAAACCAATCATATAAGCTCAGAAACGTGTGTATGTTTTAAAAGCGCCCTTATGATTACGGGCTAGAGGGATCAGGTTGCAGTGATTGTTGGTAGCCAATCACAGCACGCATCGGCTCGCCACCACCAGCCAATCAGAGCAGAGGCAGCCACAGCGAGACTCGGGAAGCAGAGGAAGAAGCGCCTGGGAGAGTGATCAAGCAAGGAAATTCTTCCCGTTCTCTTCCCCCTGTGCTCCTCTCCAATCCCTTGAACCTTTCTGCCTGCTGCGTGCTGCTGAATGAACAGGAGGCAGCGATAGTCGGCCAATACATGACTCAGATGGAGACGATTTGCATCATTTCCCTCTGAAGTTCAGCTCTCCAGTTAGCTTGTGCGGCAACATGCAACTGCTTTGACTGATTGGTATTAGGAACTGAAAGCAAAAGAGCGGAACGAGAGCATGAAAGAGCGGAACGAGAGCATGAAAGAGCGGAACGAGAGCATGAAAGAGCGGAACGAGAGCATGAAAGAGCGGAACGAAAAAACTCCTTCCAGTTTGCTGTCTCGCCTCTTCCCTGAGGATGGGCGAAATAACAGGGAGAATGAAGACCAAGTTCATCAGGTGAACTCCCTGATCTGACAAAACTTTGAAATAAGGGCAGGAGCATGTGATTACCTTAAAGCGCGCCCCTTAGATTACGGGCTAGAGGGATCAGGTTGACCGATTCCAATCACAGCACGCATCAACTCTCATTTGCCACCACCAGCCAATAAGAGCAGAGGCAGAGACAGCGAGACTCGAGAGAAGAGGAAGAAGCGCCTGGGAGAGTGATCAAACAAGGAAATTCTTCCTGTTCTCTTCCCCCTGCGCTCCTTCCCCGTCCCTGAGTCCCTCTGCCTGCTGCGTGCTGCTGAATGAACAGAAGGCAGCGGGGAAGGCCCGTGCATGACTCAGACAGCACCTCTCATCATTTCCCTCTAAAGCTCAATTCTGAAGCTCATTTCTCCAACTAGCTTGTGCAGCAACATGCGACTGCTTTGACTATTTGGTGATAAGAACTGAAAACGAAAGAGAGGAACGAGAGAATAGAAGAGTTGAACAAGAAACTCCTTCCACTTTGCTCACCCCCCTCTTCCCCGAGGATGGGCGAGTTAACAGGGCGACGAAAGGATTAAGTTCAACAGGTGAACTGCCTGATCTGATAAAAACATTGATATAAGAGGCAGGAGCATGTGATTATCTTAAGCGCACCCTTAAGATTATGGGCTAGAGGGATCAGGAAGGGGTGGATAGAGTGATAGCCAATCACAGCGCGCATCGGCTTCCACTCGTCACCACCAGCCAATCAGAGCAGAGGCAGAGACAGCGAGGCTCAAGAAAAGAGAAAGGAACGCGTGAGAGGGAGAGATTGAACGAAAATAAAAACTTTCCGTTCTCTCCCCGCGCACTCCCCTCCCCTGAACCCCTCTGCCTGCTGCGTTCTGATGATTGGACAGGAGGCAACAGGGAACACCCGTGCATGCTCAGATATCACAGAAGCTTCATCATCTCCCTCTTGTGCCTGACTATTAGAATATCTGAGCATTCTGTATGACGAATGCAGCAGGAACTGCGCTAGGCTCCGTTGAGGGAAGGGAGTGGAAAGGCGTGGAAAAGAGC